TGGATTTGGAAATATATGGCAGCAACAAATTCAAATGAATAGAAAATGGTTCCCTCTTGCCTTTAAACAAAAGATTAATGACCAGTACTTACAAGAATGGAATGATTTAGTTACCAAATCAACATGCAGTATTAATTATAAACTATTTAAAAATGAATTTGGCACAAATAAGTATCTTAATTTTCTTCCTAATTATTTTTGTAAAATTATCACAAGTTTTAGGACAAGAAATCATAGGCTCCCAGTGGAAGTAGGAAGATGGACAGGAGTACCATATACAGAAAGAAAATGTACATTATGTAATTTAAATGAAGTAGGGGATGAATTTCATTACATTTTCAATTGCAAATTCTTATGTGAAGAAAGAAAAAAATTTATTAAACCATATTATTACAGGAATCCAAATATTTTAAAATTCTCCCAACTCTTAAACATTGAAAATAAACAGGAATTAATAAGATTAGGCAAATTTATGGACTGTATCATGAAATTGTTTAGAAATTAATTGATAAATTTGTATATGTGTATATATGTTCACCATGTTAAATATATTTGTAGATATATGCCTGTATGCTTGATCTTTAAACTATTTTTGACTGGTATGTACCATGTTTTTGTGTTTGTTATTTAATATATTTCATATTACATTACCTACTTCTTCTTATGATGCACATTATTATTTTTAAAATTTAATGTCAAAATGTCAATATATTGTTAAAAGCTCCCACCCACCCCCCTTTTTTTTGGGGGGGGGGGGTGGGACATTTACAAGGCAAAGCAACCAAGCACTTATATCTTTTGATTAGGTTACACTTATTAATGCCTTTAGTGAGAATGAAATATCAATTATGTTCCAATAAAGATTAAAATATATCTATAAATAAATAAATTAAAAAAAAAATAATAAAAAGCAACCTAAATTTCATATATCAAATGCTCTTTTGATAATTTCGTTTCGCAAAAAAAAGAGCTCTGACATATAATGTATCCCTTTTATTATTTCCATTCATTATGCTTTTACAAAGTAATAAGTAAAAGCATGTGTCTACACATGGAAATAGATCTGTAAAGGCAATACAAAGCAAATGTACTACAACCAAATCAAAGATATTTTACCAGGATATATCTATATCCATGAACAGTGATGAAAAAAACAAAAACAAAAAACTACTATCTACAATAGGCCTACAACACTGCTTAAATCACAAAAGTAATTTAAAAAAAAAAAACTTACATTGCATGTTCAAAAGGTCACGCACCCACGTAAATCCACAAACAGAATAATATCACTTCTGTTCAATATAGATAAGTCAGATATCAAACTGACAAACACTTAAACACCAACTGAATGACACACTCTTTTGCTTTTTTCCATCTTAATTAAATTCCAACATTGAAACTCATAGATTTTTGGCATTTTATATTTTTAAACATCCAACATAAATCAATAAAATAAACATTTTTTTCTTAACGACAACTGCACACTTCTATTGTTACTTCACGTGCCGTCCACACCTGTCCGAACCTAATGACCCGATTTAATCATGCGACAAATCTATTTATAGGCATTCTCAGTTACTTAATTACTAGGGTACTGTTGCACTGAATTAAAATGTAGGTAAAAAAGGGCAAAAAAAAAAACAACATTATTTTTTCTATACTGCAGTATGTGTCTGAATTGTTTAATTTTCGTTAATAATTCTTATGAATGAACTGTATTAGAACTTTGTGTTGCTCTCTGCTATGCATGTGACTATTTGTATGTAAAATAATTGACATGTATTTTCTCTTGTATTTGTATGTATGCAAACAGAGAATATGTAAATAAAACTTGAAACATTGAGTTGATAGACTTATGTACGGATTCAAGGGCTTACTTTACATTCAACCTCGTTTTCTAACAATGTCAAGTAAAACAACAACAAAAACAGACAACATTTTTTATGTGGACGCCTATATGACTTGTGGTAAGGTGTTCCTGACAAATTTCTAAACCATTTTAGATTATCTAAGGATGATTATTTCTCTATGAATAAAAAAAAGATATTAAAATATATCCTCAGTGAAAATAAATTGTTCGCCAGTAAATCGGACACAGTACTAATAAATCTGGGACAAAGTATGTAATTTATTGTCTATCCCGGTAGAAACTAGATCTCTATGCCGTGCATAGATGATATTCATGATAATAGAAGTCAAGAAGGCCAGATCATAATGATCGAGTAATACCTTTTATTTCTATTAAATTATGTGAAGCATTATCAATTTGGTGGAAAAAATATATAATTTCCCGTTCTTATTTGTACATCTACCATGGACTTTAAAAGACTGTCAGTAGTTCAGTTTGTTGTTATTTTATTTTATATTTTAACGGAATTTCATACACGAATACACAGGCAGAGGGACACTGGTATAATACAATAATAATGCTGCTGATAATAATAATACACTTCAAAAAGGAAACAATTAAATACCCCGCTAGCGGTGCGCAAATGCGTTCCATTTCTCCCCACTGAGTGCCTCAAATTTTACCGATAGTCACGTGACATGTGCGAAAGATGCCAGACGAACAGTAAATCACATTAAGAATTGAAGAAATTTCGGCTATAAACTGATATTAAACAGCAGCTTTTTAATTGGTCATATGTCACTGGGTCATAAAATGTTGTTAGAGTATGTTACCGCAACTTGTGACCCTCTCTGGTGCGATATTTGTGTATTATGCAATTATTTAGCGTGAAACGTGGGGGTCCGAGAGAGAACAGCCGATTTATGACACTTCGTTTGATGCGTGTCGGACTAACTTTGAATCGGCATAACTTTTTTAATAATCAAGCAATTAACATGCGGTTTAAAGCACATGAAAGGAAATTTATTTACGGAGGGAACCGTGTCAGGGATTTTTGTTTGCTCAATCAGCGACTTAATTATCTTTAATAACGTAATATGTATGGTGAAAAAAGTCGCATAAAATGTTTGACGTTATGTAATATTTTTTTGAGAAAAGATAGAAAAAATTGAGACACGGTTCCCTAGATAATATAAGTATGGTTATTTTCCAAACGTTTGATGACAAAAAAATAAAAATTGACTTTGATATGACGATTTAAAATTTTAGAATTTTTATTCAAAATCAATCATTTACAAAGGCATGTTTTTCAAATATGTTATTTTTTATGATGATCAACGACATTTAATGCACAAAGATTAAATAAATAACAATTATTACTAAAATAACTTGGTTTAAATGACATTTATGTGAGTACCACGGAAAGTGTCTGTTGTCACCTTAAATCATTCTTGCAAAGTTATGTTCCTTCTCTAATTAAAAATCTTTGACCTTGTTCAACTTTTAAAAAATGTCAAAGAAGAACTGCCTCAAAAAGTATCTTATGTACAAGACGCGACGTCTTGATGTTAACAATTATACAAATTTGTTATAGAATCCTTCCTTGCATGATATAGATACAGCCCGGAAACGAATGTGTACCTTCAAACTTTTTTGTGAGTATGGGAAACTTTAAACTATAAGGGTGACATTGATCTTGGAGTTAAGGATGTATTGGACAACACACTTCGTGTTGAAATGGTAGACATATATGCTATGTTATGTTAAACTTCCTCAATGCATGTTAAACTCTAATTGTGAGAATGTGAACTTGTAAATTTGTCTTTTGGCGTCTTTGCTGTGATATGCAGGTTTCATAACCTCTGATCCCCTTTCAAAATTCCATTTTATTTAATTCCGCCGATCTTTTCCTCGTTTAGGGCACACGCATTTTTGTACTTGGGGACCATATGTCGCTTTTCATGGAATTGCACTTACGTGTCACATTGAAGATTCCATGATAACCGCAATATGAACACATCTGCGGATGTTTAAAAATTGTATCAGTTCATGTTAAATGTTGAATTCTGCTCAAGCCGGCCGGTGCTAGGGGGCGAAGGCTGTGTTTGCACTTGACAGTACTGTCCATAAACAGGCTCAATCAGACCGAACCTAAAACATTTTCAATATTGCCGTGTTGGGCTTTCTTAAGCGATTCTTATTTTCTCTATTTTCAAGCTGTAAGTGTTAAATTGACCTTTGAGGTAGAGACATAGGTCTAATCTGGATGTGGTAGACATGTATGCTAAGTTATTTAAAAATATTTCAATACATGGCACAGTTACAATCTGGACACGAATTTTGTGTAAGTGGAGACGCACAGACCATCGGACAGTGTGATTTTAATATGCCGCTCTTCGGGGACATAATTATGTAATAACTAATTATTATTAACTTCCAATGGCAATTTGCATCTTAGTTTTTCACTTGAAACTATTAATTTTAGTTCACTATCAAAGGCATAAAGATTTTTGAGCACTTAAATCATTGTGCTCCTTTCATTTTTTGCTTTCGTCAATCACTGAGAAAATTAGAGCATGCTGTCAGACAGACATGTTTTATAAACCTTTAGCTCTATAATTTGTCATTATTTGTTTTAGGTCTAAATTAACCACTAAGTATTATGTTTCTACCACCACTGTACAAACACCTTTCTTTATTCAATGGTAAAACGTGTCACATAGAGTGTGTTTCTTTACACTCAGGTTCGTTTAACAAAACAATTAAAATATTATTATTTTCATGTATTTTATTTTTTCGTTATTATTTGTACTTAAACAGAAATAAACTGTCTCTGACATGCATTGTTAGTGTTCATTAGAGAGTCGACGAATGATATGGTCCATTATTTCAAAAAGTTGTTCTTTCATTGTTTATAGCCTTACAAACATACGTTCTCGAACTCGTTATTCATCAGCATCAACAAATGTAAATGGCTGTTTGCATCATTTCCATGTGAGACTTCATACTTGTGTTGAAATTTGACGAACAAATTAACATTCTTTCTATTTCGATACTTTTTCATATATATTTACTTGGATCATTTACAAAGAGTATATTAAAATCATATTTCATGCACATGGCACCATTAAAGGAATAATAAAATGCAATACAGTTTTGACATAAATATTTTATTATCTAAAAATTGTACAATTATACTATCACCATCCACCATGACCATGTCCATCAAAACCACCCATAACTGGACCACCCATAATTGGGCCACCCATCATGGGACCATCCATGATGGGACCGCCAATGCCAGTGTCCCGACATACGCCGTTTCCTCCTCCGCCACTACATGAACTGTCTGATACACATTGTTGATATAGACCACATTGTCCTCCCATTATATGACCAGTTTGACACTCACAAGTCCTAGTGTTTGTAACTGAAATAATTGATAGGAAGTAAAATAATTTGTCATATGTATGCACGTTAATGATACCCGAAGCATCAGAGACAATGTTATTTTACGTAGGTTATATCCTAACACTCCAACCATGAAAATAGGCTTTTCACTGAATGATTTGCAGATTCTTTAGTTCGGAACTTATATTCAATTTAATTAAATGCGTTTTGTAAGATATTTTGTAATGAATTGTTTTTCTTTATATTAACATTTGTAATACTATTATTATAAAATCTATAGAAACTGTTCCAGAAGTGAATAACTTACCTTGATTTACATGGACATTATTTGAACCTGTGTGACGTTCCACATTTACATTATTATTTGATACATTTATATCCTGAGCATCTCTTCTTGAATTGTCATCTACGATAACTGGGCGTCGCCGACCACCAATAACACCTATACCTCCTGCAGGGTACACTCCACCTCCAAGTGTATCAGTCCCAATGTATGGATCAACGTAAGGATCGCTTATAATAGATCCTCCAGGATATGGGTCAATTATACCACCACCAATAGGATGTCTTGGGTATATTCTCTTCGGTATGATTCGTCTTCTTCCGTATCCTGGTAACAGGAAATATAAAACTTTACAAATGTTTATGAAACAACAATAAATTACGATCATAATCTTAAGATTGAAGCATGATAGGACGAATAAGCATTTGTTTTATTTATGTTGTTATTAATTCTCTGACAACAACCTTAAGTCAAGTAAATGTCAATAACAGGGAGTTAGCTCGTCATAATTAAATAATACAATGTGTTTTAAAAAACTTTCCGAATATTAAACGCTGACATTAACATTAATGTGTATAAAATTGTATGAGCACTAAACATTGTACATTTATGATAGAAATAAAACTAGGTCAACAAAAAGTAACACATACCCGGTTGTCCATTTGTTAGTGCCAATATTGCGAATGCAATCTGCAAAAGAATATAATAACTAAATTTATATAATACAAACATTTACACTCTATGTATGTAGCAGCAAGAGCAGGTAAGAAATCTATGAAGATCTGACAATTAAAGCATAAATTAATATAAAAAAAAACAACAAACAAAACAAAAAACAAAATCAAAAACAAAGAAACAAACAAAAAACGATATATAATTATGATAATAATAATTATATAAAAATAATAAGTCTAAGTGTGAATCTGTAATGTGATGTGATGTTTTCACTTTTTTCGCACCAAATATCACTTATTTGTCAGTTTTAAAGTAAATATTGAGAACAAAAAGGTATCACAACTAATAACAACACAAATAACCGTTTATATAATTTGTATAGTTAATGTTTTTAGTTTACCACATAGAAAATTTTATGAAGTTGTTAGCTAAATGAACATATGTTGATAACATATAATTGTGAAAGTAAACACGACAACTTTAGGAGACAAACATACAACAATAAGTTCCGTTCAGCCTTCTCTAAAACCATTGATGCTAATTCAAAAGTTAGTGATTACAAACACAGTATAAACTGATTAAGTACTTAATCTTGTTCAGGCTACACGCAAGCAAAATGTAAATGTATACTTACAATAGCTTGAAAGAAATACAAGTATAAACTCTTCTCCATATTTTATTTTTAATGTGTTATATCGACAGCAGTTAAAATATTATAAAATGCTGAAACGTTCATAGCACAGCTTTATATATATCTCATGTACGAACATTTTGTAAGATGAATCGCTTTAATTAGGTTGCAAAATCTGCTGCTTATTTACTTAATTAGAATCAAAACGAATAAATTACTACTAATTAGCATGGTTTAACGGTAATAAAAGGCTGACGGGCATTAAATAAAGCGCTTAAGAATAAAATATTAATCTATCATGTTAGCAAAAATACACAAAAATTTTACGAAGCTCAAAAGGTTGGTGACGTTAGAGAATTGTTTATAGATGCCTTGTTTATAAACCACACAAAATGACTTTATACGTAACCACATAATTTCCGCCAAAGTATGACGTTATTCAATAAATAATTGAATTGTCTTTAGGAATTAGACAATAAAACTTAATAAAAGCGTGATAAAATTTTAGTACTGTTTTGATTATTTCCTCATTTTTGTTTATTCTGTTTAACTTTGTCGTGACTTTTATCACTGTCAAATCCCTATGTTGATTAAATTAATTGAATTTCTTTTGCTAAGTGTTTTCTATCCAAACAATGTTTTCTATGCTATAGGCAGATTTATGCACCTTAAGTTACCCTTTCGTATCAAGATTCAATCACATCGAGTCTGTAAAATTTTAAATAATATCTTATTCTAAATTCATCCCGAGATTTCTCACAGTTTTTTAAGTAATTTAACAACTGTACCCATCGTATGAAAGTGATTACCCTAATTGTTTTCCTTTCTTCATTGACATGACGTTTAACATGTCAATATACTTTAAACACTTTATAGGTCGTAAGAATTGTGGATACTTTCGTACATGTCAATAAACTTTTACTTTTTGGTTCTCATTTTGACGAATTGTTTGCTAGTTATTGACGAGAAAACAAAACATCGACCGCACAATCAAAGTGGGAAAAGAAAACAGCAAACGTAATCAGTTAAAATACCAAAACATAATAATAAAAAGGAGTATCCTGTTTCGCGCAAAATAATAATAATAAAAATAATAGTAACAAAAAATCTTTCTTACACTTTCATTGCATGGATTTTTATGTACATACCGAAAAAATAGATATTTGATAATAATTTTCAATTTTTTATCAGTGTAAAATGTGCAAACCTTACAGGTATTCTTTACAAAGTTCCATTCGATTTGCTACTGAATTTACATTAAATGCTACACATTATTAAATTATTGACTCTTTTGTGGGATCTTACAGCATCAGATTGATGTTTCCAAAACGATTTCGTATAATGGAGTAGTTTCAGGATGATTCACATAAATTTTAGAACGTTTTTTTGTGTAACCCATATATACACATAGGTTTATATAAAACGTATTTTCTCCTAATGCTTTATTGAGGGGTGAACTTCAAAGTGTATTCAATCTAGAATAAAACGCACCCAGTTACTATATTTTACTGCACCGATTTGCAAACTTTTTTCTTTTCAGCTTTTCAGATTTTCATACATGATGTGATTGTAAAATACCCCAAAGAAAGAACAAAAAAAAACAAACATATTAATATTCACATTCGAATATAGGAAAAAATGAAAACAACTGTCATGGTCATATTTCCATTACAATTAAAGGTATACTATAAGTATACTCTAGAAAACCAATAACCAAACCAATGCAACACATGCAAAAGGTGCATCTCTCGGGATTGATGAAAGGTGAAAATAAATGGTTAATTATAAAAACTCGGTTTCACGACATTCAATTAAAAATATTTAGAATAAGTTACCTTCTCTGAGTGTTAAGCTATAGAATGTGTGCGTTTAGATTTGTTTTCGAAAAGAACTTGACGGGACGAACCCCGTCCGTGCTGTGACTTGTGCTCTGTCCTGTTTTTGTTTTGGTGTGTTCCTGGGCTTCTTGCCGGTGGTAGTCCTGTGTTGCTGGATCGTGTGGGGTTGTGTGCATGTAGCTGCCCTTCCTTGATGATCTTGTTTTTTCCTTTTTTTTTAAATTGCTATATTGAAGTCGAACACACTGCCAGTGTTTTTGAAAGATTTGGAACGATTATTGAGATATGAAAACTGTAGCAGGATTAATAGGAGTTATGGTAGATATTTAGTTTAAACAATATTTTATTTATAAACCACACATTTACATAATAAATTACATAAAATAAAATTTACGGATTGAGTAGGAAGCTTGAAAAGCTTTTTTGAAAACTCTCTCCGTAATCAGTATTTAACAAATTTCAAAAAATGGTAACAAAATATAAATATCTAAACTAAACTATACATATCATATCGACTTGTTCTTGCTTTCTTACTATACATACTATGTTTATGTCAAGTATTCATGAACTAATTTTAAGATACATTGCTGTTAGATTAGAGGTATAAGCACGAGTATGAATTCATTTTTAAAGGGATATATTGCTTAGTTTAGTGATTGGTTAATTAAACTAATATGTTGAGAACTTTAATTATTAAAACATGTACATTGGAGGAGAAGTAATAATAGAAGAGAAGAAGAGATAAGGAACAAGAGAAAGAGAGTCACTTTACTACTATGGAGTTGGAGGACCTTTTTCTTTTCAAACGAATATTATTATGTATCAAATCTTTTTGTTTTTTGTATGTATTTATGTATATGTGATATAATTGTTTCGTTTTGAGCACCGGTAAGTGAATTATCGCCGTATAGTAAATTATTCAATGTAACAGTTGTGATTTGACTTAAATTGTTTATAAGGATAGTGCGGTCATCTTGATACATGGGGCAGCGGAGGAAATAGTGTTCTGTATTTTCTATTTCACCACATATACAAAAAGGGCTATCTATTATGTTTTTTGAAAACAGATGTTCTTTCAGAGAGCTGCAATGTGTTCTTAATCGTGTATGTATTATTTGATATCTTCTTTCACCTATATAATAGTGAGCTGGAACTTTTTGGACATCTTCATTTAGTCTTTTTTTGAAAATTGCAAGCGATGGTGCATTTCTTAGTTCGACAGGGAGATCATTCCAGTCTTTAATCGAAGATGGTAAGAATGAATTTGAATAAAGTTGAGTTTGACAGAAAATATTTCTAGTGTTACTTGCATTTCGTAAGTTGTATACTGAAGTTTGTCCTACTGTGTTTGGAACTATGGAAGATAAATATTGTGGAGATAGGTGATTGAACATTTTATATAGCAGAATTAGTTTGTGTTTATAGCGTCTTACTTTTAGGGGTTGAAAACATGTGTCTTCATACAGATTTGAGAAAGAAACAAGTTTCGTTGTACCAGTTATAATTCTGCAGGCTTCAAGTTGGATTTTTTCTAACTCGAATTCATCTTGTTGAGTAATATTATCCCAGACTACATCTGAGTATTCAAGAAGAGGCCGGATGAAAGAAAGATATATAGTTTCGAGTGATCTACGATCAGTGATGAATTTTAAAGACCTCATAATATTAAGTCGTTGCCATGCCTTTTGTGATATATTCATTATATGGGTATGCCAAGTTCCTTCAGATGAAAAAGTTACTCCAAGATGTTTGTGAGTGGTCACCTCATTTATTTGTATTCCGTTCATACTAAGGGGAGGATGAACAGGTTTATTAACCTTACGGGAAAAAATGACAGATTCAGTTTTATTTGGATTGAAAGTGACAAGCCATCTGTTTGCCCATACAGTAATTTTCTCGAGATCTAAGTTAAGTGTTGCAGCAGCGGTAGCAGGATTGTCAACGATAATATACAAACTTGTATCATCTGCAAAGAGTCTGATATATGAATTTATGTCAAGGACAATATCTTTGATATGGTAGATATTTGATAAGATTATTAAAGATTGACGGACAGACAGAGCACACATTTGTTTAAACAATGTTTTGTTGCTGAGTATTATGATTGCAGAATTGTCAGAAGCACCTACATTTTGTGGCTTATGACTCAATCAAACCGAGTCTGCAATTCTTATGTTATTTTGTTGAGATTAATGCTTCCGAGGGATCACTTTGTTTCCAGAATTTTGTACTTCACAACAGCAGGTGTCAAGTGCCGTGTGGCAGCCGTAAAAAGTTGCCCCGTACTTCACTTCAGTGTTGTTATATTTTCTGGTCCTTCGGGATCATTGATGCAAACACTATAAAGTGTTGAGAATTGAGTACCGCTCAAGCCGGTGCTAGGGGGCGTGAGGGATGTTGCACTTAATCATTATTCCTCATGTACAGACTCAATCAAACCGAGTCTGCAATTCTTATGTTATTTTGTTGTGATTAATGCTTCCGAGGGATCACTTTGTTTCCAGAAGTTTGTACTTCACAACAGCAGGTGTCAAGTGCCGTGTGGCAGCCGTAAAAAGTTGCCCCGTACTTCACTTCAGTGTTGTTATATTTTCTGGTCCTTCGGGATCATTGATGCCAACACTATAAAGTGTTGAGAATTGAGTACCGCTCAAGCCGGTGCTAGGGGGCGTGAGGGATGTTGCACTTAATCATTATCCCTCATGTACAGACTCAATCAAACCGAGTCTGCAATTCTTATGTTATTTTGTTGTGATTAATGCTTCCGAGGGATCACTTTGTTTCCAGAATTTTGTACTTCACAACAGCAGGTGTCAAGTGCCGTGTGGCAGCCGTAAAAAGTTGCCCCGTACTTCACTTCAGTGTTGTTATATTTTCTGGTCCTTCGGGATCATTGATGCCAACACTATAAAGTGTTGAGAATTGAGTACCGCTCAAGCCGGTGCTAGGGGGCGTGAGGGATGTTGCACTTAATCATTATCCCTCATGTACAGACTCAATCAAACCGAGTCTGCAATTCTTATGTTATTTTGTTGTGATTAATGCTTCCGAGGGATCACTTTGTTTCCAGAATTTTGGAAATGTTCCTTTATTCGAAATTTCACCATTTCCTGTTTAAATCAAGCGAGTCTGCAACATTTTTAATCTTGCTGTTTTGGTTGTAATTTAGGGATCTCGATTTTTTTCTTATTGTCGAAATATTAGTTATAACAAATAAACATGTTAATATTTTTATGAGTATACACGTACAAAAGATCTTAAGGTATGTCGTTTATAGTCCATTTTATACAAATTCTTAAATGACTTGTCGAAATAAGTCAATCCACTTTTAAAAATCGATAATCAATTTGTCAACAGCATTAAATATTCACTGAAACATTTGCAACTTCATTAACTTAAACTGAAATGCATGTTGTTCATCTATATCGCTTAGTTTAAACATATTTTATTGCATTAAATACATGTTTACAAACATATTATACAAATAATGAGTATATATCAAAATGTAAATGGGTTGGACAACAAGTTCTTACAACATTAGATTAAGCCCTTCCTAGATCAATATTGCTTGTGAAGTTTATGCCATATCTACAGGTTTTCTTTAAAATAAATTAGTTCACAGTGAGCACGTTTTACATAGGTAATTCAAATATTGATCTAAACAATAGAATATGTTTCACTTGGATATTCTTATAAAAAACATTTCTTGAAAAAAAAGATAGACATTTAAGTTGTTTAGTATGGATATTTATAATAATAATAATAATAATAATAATAATAATAATAATAATAATAATAAATAAAAACTCGTTTCCTGTTGTCACAATAAGAAACCCCAGACAAATGTAACCAAGAATGAGCATGAGCATCTGAATATGATATTTCTGTCGCTTTCCCTTTCCCTGCCGTCACAATAAGTAAACCCCAGGAAAAATGAGCCAATCAATGGGCATGCTCTGGAGTGCGGGTAACAAATACCTGCACTCCAGTTAACGCACTGTGCATGTATATGTAATGTATACGATTTAACTCTGACACATTTTCAACAGAAATGTCCCCAAACTATGATACAATAAATATAATGATGATAATGATGATGATAATGATGATGGTGATGATGATGATGAAAATACTATTTTGTTCTTGAACAAGCTATTATCTGATAAAAAACAAATGCCTAATCGGGTCATGTAGCATACACTAACCAGCAATATCAATATACGATCCATAAACAATTACATGTATATCGTGATTTGTTATAACGTATAATAGCTCAACAAATTACTCTAATTGTTGATGTTTTCTTGGCTTAATGAGTGTGCATCAACCTTAACAGATAAGTAGCAGAACTCTATCGGATACGGGGACACGTCACCGTCGTACCCTTCAATGTTAACTGGTGATAATGCACCTCAATGTGAACAAGAACTGCATTTTAGGTCAAGCTGTAGGTCACTTAAACCGTCCATGTAATCTAATTTCTAATTTAATCTGATAGAGGCCTATATGTCCCTGTACCAGTTCCAAGTGTATTTAATGCCTCTCCTCGCTATGAGTCAGAATATCGCCAGCTCATCGAATTCATTGAATTAGAATAAGGTTTCAGTTGAGTGTACGGGAGCATTTTATACCAACTTTTACTGTATCATCTGACAGGTTACTCTCTGCAAAAGTGCACCGAATGAACTTAAGGAGAAATAGACACATTTATGAAATGCCTTGAAGCCAAAAGCTCCACTTTTTGCTTTTGAGAAAATGTTGTGAGACTCTTTTGAGACAGAAAATGTTATCTATTGTCAAATAGATAAATACAGAATCCCTAAAGAAAGCCCAACACGGCAAAATTGAAAATGTTGCAGGCTCGGTTTGATTGAGCCTGTTCATGAACGGTATTGGAAAGTGCAAGTTACCGTCCACGCCCCCTAGCACGATTAACATTTTTAACAGGACTAGGGCTGTGAATTTTTGTTATATATCACACTGAATCGGAAAGCAATACCTATAAAAAATCTAATTTGCTTGTCCGTAAAAGCGACTTTGAAAACCATGATATGCGCCGCATTTCATTAAAAGCATAACTTTTTCATTTGTTTATGTTTTTTGTTCATGTTTCATTTATGGTCAAGTCCGGTTATTTTTATCATCCCTAGTAGTCTTTATTCCGCTTGGAACTAATTTACTTCTATTTCTTTCAATTTGTTGGTTCCAGTATTCCTTCTTGAATACTGAATATTCATCCTTAGAGTATTTTGCCGTTTTTTTCTTTTCTTTTTTTTTCTTTTTTTTTTGGTTTTGAAAGCTTATCTGTAATATACAGTTTCATAACCTCTTGTCCCCTTTCAAAATCATATTGTTTTCTCGTTACGGGTACACGGATTTATTACTTGGGAACTATACACAGCTTTTCCTTGAATATGACTAACGTGTACCATTAACTGTTCTAAACTTATCGGATGTTTATTAGGTAAAATCTTTAACATTTAATGTTAATTTTGAAATCTGCTCAAGCCGGCACTAGGGGACGTGAATGGTGGCTTGTACTTGACAGTACGGTATATGATCAGACATATTTAAAATAATTAGAACAGATATCAACAATGCAAAGCCAACAATCATAGGACTGAGCAAACCAGACCTGCAACACCTTTTATTTTTGCTAATATTGATGTTCTTAAGGGATTCCTTTTTTTACATTTTGAGCTCTACAAACACACACTGTTAAAAACTGGAGGTCAACTATTAATTTTCAACGTGTGTGAAACTGTTTTTGTTCAAATTTTTGTTCAATAGAGTCGGATAGCTACTTGTAGATTTATTAAGTTTTGTTTAAGTGCAAAAGCTGCGTTCAAGATGTTTTAGACTCAATGTTTTAGATGTACAGACTCAATCAAACCGAGTCTGCAATTTTCTTGTAAGTTTGTCGTGATTAATGCTTCCGATGGATCACTTTGTTTCGAGATTTTTAGAAATGGAAAAGGTTGCTTAACTTGCCAGTCTAATTCTTCCGTCAAACCTTAAGCCAGCTTCTTTCCGAGTCGACAACCTTTTTAGTTTATGTTTATATTTTTCACTAGTTTATTTATTATAATATCAATATAAGAAGAGTATTTTAAATCGTAATTAAATATTAAGAAAAAAGAAAAGCATTTATCAAGGGAAGGACTTAACAGACTAACAGAGGTTATGGCTTATTTGGGATTAGAAACTTCATTCTTCCATCATCGGAACAAACTTCAGATCTTTTTTTTAGTCACAACGTGAGAAACGTTCGCCAGTTTTAAATGATTAAGACGTTTTGCTAGAGGAATGAACCAAATGTCTGTACATTGATATTGCAACAGAATGTAATATCAAAACTGCAAAACAGGATGAAGCTCGACATATTTCGAAATTACGATAGATTGTTGATAGTTAATTGTGTGATTAATTATTATCAATCATAGGTTAATGTCAGGTGCAAACAGATTTTGTGTTGCAATGACATGCATTTTCATGCTTTCAATCAGCAGTGTACTATCATTCTTCTTTATAGTTACAAAAAAATGTTGTTGATTAGCATGCAACTTCTATACAATGAGAAAAAACATGAGGGGGGGGGGGGTGGAGTGGAAAGAAAATGGATTGAAATATACTACATTCATTTAAACACAATCCGCAAAGTTGCACCATTGAGCATCATACTAAGCTATCTTGCATTTTTCACAATAACATTAACCTAAAAGATCAAAAAGTGAATTTGCTGTCATCAGAGAAAAATTATTGACTTTTCTTAATAGTCTGCCCTTTTATATCCCTTTTTCTGTACTTATAACATTGTCTTTTTATGGGCATATTTTGTATTTTTTATATCAATGATATAAGAAATGCATACACATGTTTTAAATATATAAAATTTTATTTGACAACTTTCTGATATGGTACAATTAAATCATCATTCCGCCATGGCCCCCACCAAAACCAGCGTCTTGACACACGCCGTTACCTGCTCCTCCGGTACAAGTACTGTCTCGAACACATCGTTGATATGGTCCACATTGCTGCATAAACGGATCTGCGTGACAGTCACATCTTCTCGTTCTGGAGTTTGTTACTGAAATGATATTGTTTGTTTATAAGTGTGTATGCATTAATGGAATCTAGTACAAAGCTATTTAAAAACAACTTAACAAGGTACAAGTAACTTTATCATAGAAACAAATCTTTAACATTTTATCTTATAATAATATTATAACTGTAATGATCATTTCAAAAATACTGACAAACCTATCTGGTTTTATTTCATACTTACAAGATGTGTGTTAAAGTGATATCAGTCTGGAAAAAATATGATAATCATTACAGTTCAAATAGTCTTAACTGAGTACATGCTAATTACAAAAGACAAGAGTCATTTCCTTAGCCTATGTAGCTGGCAGAAACTGAGCGTACTCATATTTTTGCCCGATAAGCCTTTTTAGCTGATGGCAGCACATATTGTTGGCTCGCTATATTGATATTCCCGCACGAAACACGCATGTTTCTTACATTTAGTATTTAAGGTAATAGGAGAAGGTCATCAGTGCTAAGATGTTATTATGAGTCTTATATAAATTACTTACCCTGATTTACGTTGACGTTACCAGAACCATGGTTTTCTCGAATATTTTCGTTATTATTGCTTATATTTATATTCTGTCTGCGAGCATCGGATCTGTCACTAACAACAGCTGGACGTCGAACTACTGGGAGGATTGATGGTTCATAAATGCCTGTATCAGGATATATTATTCTTCGGGGGTACGGCCTTATCGGCGGAATTCTAGGATACATTCCTCTTCGAAACCCTCCTCTACGGGGATAAACTGTAAAGAAAAATCAGATACAGATATAAACCATTTACAAAATTGTTTGTTTTACTTTCTGTATGAATGTCAACAAAGAGACCATAGCGTTTAAACAGAATACCATGTTTATGATTGAAATTTTGACATTATCAAATATAATTTTTACGTATAAAATAATCTGTTTAGCTGTGTTCTAATAACTACTACTTTATGAATTCAGTGTTACAGTATCTTTATTTTTTATAATAATCTAAACGACAATATGAAATAAAATCAAAAAGAAACTTACACGGGTCTCCCATCATGTGTTGTGCTTCCGAGAAATTTGGACCATAGAACAGTGCCTGTATAAAAATTATATTTAAACTTACTGAATTTCTTTATGCACATACAATAACTGAGTTAATCACAGAAATATTTGTAAAAAACGGAGTTCTTAGGCAGCATAAAAACGAAAATTGTAGATTCTGATAATTTGTCTGTTTAGCAACATCCCACACCTATGCTTTACAAATTCAATATTTTTGCAAAAGGCACATAATATACGCACAGTTAAAAGTGAATAAGTGAATAGAATAAATTATTATAAAAAAGCTTCTGATAACGTAACATATATCTATATTTTACTGTTACAGAGACTTTGAACAGATGCCTTTATTAAATGTAGAATATTTTTGAAGGAGAAGTTAAGTTGTAGCATTAAATGTGTATGGAAATCAATAAGTATACTAACCAAACAAACAAAACAGCCGAAATATTTGATAATATCCATTTCTGTTAGTCCTTACAAACGAGTTTAAGATTACGAATGATTTGTTTCTTTTTTGTACACTAAAATAGTCTCATCTGTTAGAACAACGTTGCGTGATTAACGTATAATTTATACATAAAACGTCACTGTCCGCGTTTTTTAAACAGTTAATTGTGTCAGTTTGAAAGATTGTTATTTGACTGTTTTACATCGATCATAAAAACTTCAAACGTTGTTTATAATGTGGATGGTTTATTTATGAATTAATTTACTTAGTATCGTTGTGACGCTAAAGTACTAACTACCATTCTATAAACTTGTATATTCACACTGGTTGATTAACCCTATGATTACATGAAAAATGAAAGATAAAAGCATAAACATTATAAATGATTGAGTATATAGGGACAATATCTCTAACATTATTTCTACTTTCATGAAAATCTGTTATACCGAGTTTTGAGGATTACTGTCACTAATTAGTTTGTATTCAAGACAACATATTGAAATCTTATCAAATAATGACGTCAAAGTGAAAAATACATCGTCTCTTTTGACAAAAATATACTAACAATAGGTGTCCGAAAACTGTCGTAAGAAAGCGGTAGTGGCTTTGTATTATCACGATACTTTCAGTCATTAGCCGAGGTGAAACAATAAGGGTTGATGTGGCGGCATGGCTGGGTTGTTATCGTGTCGTATGTGGCGGCAAGGTCGAGTGGTTAACGCGTCGGACTAGTTATCTAATGATCGCTAGCCGCATGGGTTCAAAGCCCGTTAGAGGCAAGTCGATGTTTCCTTAGCCAAGAAACTTTACACTCATTGCTCACTGGTTGGTTCCAGGAACAGATTAGAAAGTGTGTCTATAAGCTTATAGGTTCCTACACAATCAACCTAAAATAAATTCTGTATAAACCAAACGATAAGGGTTCGCAAGCCGTAAAATTAACGTATTAAGCATTACGTAATTTTGAATGTTTTTTTATTATACAGACATACTATCTTTTTTGTCCCGGTATGCTTGTACTCAAATTAAGATATTTGTTCACCTTGTGATTGAGGGATTGCCTTTCAAAGTTGAGGCATTGAAACTGCAGCCACCGTTTATCTCTGCGTGATCTCTGCATAATCGAATTTCTATAAACCCTTTAACTTCATCAGATAAGGTAGTTATGACCCTTGGTGTTTGCTTTAAGTTTGTAACGCCTGGGTTAGCCAAAAATTATCTCTTCTGTTTTGGCCCCATATGACTCTAATTGTGTTGGTGCGCCATAAAAGCAAACAAAACAAACATTATGGTTAACATACTTCAGCAAATATTGTCAAGCGAATGTCATTATCCTTAAGAAAATGGTTTTGTTTATATTAAAATACTTCAGGTCATTGATAGTTTACATGAAGGGTGATGTACTTTTAAAAACCTTATTTTCATTCCCCTAAAACATGTATGTATATTAATCTAAAATCGTGGGATAAAAATGATTATTTTTCATCTCTAAATAAATTTGTTGCAAGGCATTCTTAACTGGATTGATTTGTTTTTAATTTTATGATATAAAAAAGGAATTTAAGGTAAAATAATTAAGGTATATGACTAGTTAAATATATGCTTAATTGCGTTGTCGCTACTTCCGGGCTAACTCATGTCACCGAAAATAAGTGTCAACCAAGGTTTAGTGTTGTTTTATAATATATTGTTTGTAAACTCTGCATCAATAAATTGAGAAATGTTATACTATGTAGATCTGATAAAAGTTTCAAGGGAACGTAAAATTGTCGAATTTATGTTTGAACTGTAACTTTGGTGGCGTTATTTACTATTCAGCAAATTTAGCATCAAAATGGACTGTTTCAACATGAAAGCATTGCCATAGACTCATATTTCCATCAGGTGAAAAACGAATATTGTAAAGTAGATGTTTTGTCAAGAGTGCAATTAAAATGTAAACGATCGTGAAGAAGGTAGTCATGAAGTTTACGTGTATCCAAAGGTTTTATTGCAAAACTCGTTTTCTTTGAATTAGAAAATGCAACATATTTGCGTTTTCTTAAAATAAAAGTATTGCAGCAATTGAACTGTTGTCAGTATCAAATATTTTAACATAAAGTTTGCAAGAAATGTCAAACCATTTAGTTTCTTTAATGAAAATTACTACTTATACATCATTATTCGTCCTTCTTGAGAAATGAAATCAAAATAATACCTCGACTATAAGTTGTAATTTCGAAATTTTATTGTAAAACTCCCTTTTATTGTAAAACTCGTTTTTATTGCGAGAAATTGCAAACAAATTTATGTCATTTCAACGAGTTTTGCAATTAATTGTCAACATTTCTTTTTTGGCAAATTTAAAGTAGTTGTTGGTATCGGCATCATAACATATTCAAGAAAACATATTTAATAACTTGAAAAGTTGTTGATAAAAATGGTGAGCTTGCACTGCATTATTAAACATATATTTGACAATGCAATATACATGTACTTTTTGTAAAATGAAAATAAGTGTTGAAATGTATACATGTATGTTTGCTGAAGGTAATTTATTGCTAGTATTCTTGTAATTTTGGAAAAGAGAGATTACTCTAGACCAACGAGAATAAAAACCAGATAGTTGAAACATATCATCTCAAAAGACACGATAGTTATATACATTCATATGCTGATCTTTCTCTGGTAAAACATTATTTAGAAATTTAAATCACGGTGATAAAATGAGTTATGACACTAAAACATTTTATATTAATGTATTATTTTATTGTATAAAAATATATGAAAACAATTAACATCTATATCATAAACAATCCAGGGTTCCGGCAAATTCCACTTCCTCCTGTACATGTTCCCTCACTAACACATCGTTCAGGATACGGACACTGATCAAATCTACCAATTTGGCAATTACACATTGCATTATTTGATGTAACTAAAAATAAGAAAATTTTTGGTATAAATTTCTACCATGAATGAATTTCAATTGCTCAACTATGTATTTCTTTTAAAACTTATCATTAAAGGCATATAATGTCTCAAAAATCAATATTTTTCAATTCTTTAGAAATGCCAAACAGGAGTTATATAGTTTATTAATAATGGATTTAGAACTTATTCGATGTTACACAATTAAAGAATGTAATGTTGAACATACAGTTGTGTGCAACAAAGGTAGCAAAATGTAAACAAAATAGTATTTTGACTTCAAAACAAAATACTAATTAATTATAATTAGTCCAATGGCCAACAGAGCTATAGTTGCAAAAGATAGTCCATGTATACGGCAAATGAGTTTTATTTTGAAACTATAACAATATAACCAACAATTGAAAGTTTTTGAGAAATAAAATTGGTAGTACATGTATTTCTGAGGCATAACGGACCTTTAAGTAAAAGAAATAAGTAAATCTATGAGATAAAATACTTTGACTATTTTGGCTAGATAACATAGTGTTTCTTATAAAACAGAATGTGAATGGCTAATACACTGCCACAAACGATAAAAACGCTACGAATGCTATATTTAACCATTCAGTATTATACGGATATTTCTTATACATGTATTAAAAAAAACATACACACACAAAACAACCCAATCGCCATAAGTATTACTTTATAAAAACGCCAGCAAAAATACTGTCTTTGTCTACCTTACCTTGATTTACGACAACGTTTCCGGAACCAACTTCTTCACGAATATTTTGGTTGTTGTTGGATATATTTATGTGTTCTACAGTTCTGTCTGACCTATCGCTTACAACGGCAGGACGATGGATAAGATCCCCGCCTATAATTGGTCGTCCTCGTTCAAGATAAGGGTCATACATGTCCATACCGGGATATATGACTCCTGATGGATACATGTCGGCTGGTGGGTATATTGCTGGTGATGGATATCCAGGATATCCAGGGTACATGACTCCTCCTCGCATCGCTCCAAATGCTGTAAGACAAAATATACTTTTCTTTGTTTCTTATAGATGTTTGTTTGTCTTATACAGGACTTTCGTTTATTTTACTATCCTAACAGATGAATAAAAAAAACGTTAGTGAACTCCCCTAGCATGATTTAATCAAAGTATAATTCATTATCTATAGCTTGTTGTGTTCCAATTGCGCGACCTCAATGAGAACCTTATGCTACAGTAAATTGAGGGGACTTCATTGCGTGTATGTTGTGCCCCATTGTTAATCTTTATTGACATACGATTTGACTCTATTATAAAGTTTGTAAGTGAATTATAGATTAAATTTAAATTTATTAACATGTCTGCAAAAGGTCACTCTTAATTATAATTAATCTTAATCGTTCAGTTATCTAAACATAGTTTAGTTTTCACATCATGTAAGTAACCTACCTGATGAAAGGTATTGGGCAACTGTAAAATCTGGCAAAAAGCAAACCACCTGGAAAATAACAAAAACAATGATTAGCTCTAGATGTAGTTAAAGACAACATTATTCATACTTATATAACTATCACTAAACATTAAAGATTAATAGGCTGTTAGTCAATGAAAAGTTAAATATCGTTCACATCATGTTGTTAACATAAGTGCTTTGCGTAAGAATGTTAAAAAGAGTATTGCATGTATATCCCAACAGCCGAAAGAAAAGTTTACACAAGCGATAGAAATGTTATATTATTAATGCTAATCATTATGAAAAAACTTTCAATATAAAAAAGGATGAAATACTTACCAGACACAGACAGCAGCAAGCAAGTGATTTTAAAGCACCCATTATTGCAATCCTTTGCAAAGGCAGTACTAAATGTATGTTTAGCCAAAGTGTCAATTGAACATCTTTTTATATGAGCTGTCCGCTCATCAGTTAAATAATAACACGTTTTAAGATAAAAATAAATACAAAATAAATAATCAACAAAGTACGTCAATGTTTTTAATGGTGAGGACATGACAAATAAAATTGATTGGTCCTTTGAAATAAATTTGCATCAATTAGTATAAATTTATTTTATATTCATTGAGGGGTAAAACTATTCACATAACGTCTTAACTAAATAAGCGGAGTGAGCATGTTAAAGAACGATTGTGACAGGTTAAATCTATATATTTGGAGTATCATAATTAAAAAGCATGAGATGTTTAAATTAACCATTGAATTTCTTTAGTATTTTAAAACATTAGGCTGACACAGGTTGAAAATATTAATGTCTTTTTGCCGCTCTATGACAATGTATGAAATATCCGTTCCTTTAAATTCCCTTTGATGAAAATATTTCGCTCGCCGTTGCAGTATGTTATTGCAAGCTTTAATCAACTTGAACTTACGCCAGTGTCCATTTCCCATAGTCTGGTAGGGTGTTATTTGATATTATTTCATCACAGCAGTCCTACACGGCTAATGTTTCGACTTAATGTCGAAGTTGGGTCTAACAGTATAGTCTTGCAGGGCAAGCATTGTGGAAGAAGGAAAACAATCTTTTGTTGTCAGAGTTGTCTAGTTTCGTTTCTGGTCTACAAGATGACTGTCTTATTGGCGCGATTTTAGGTGTTCTTTATGCAGGCGTCACACTGTCCCGAATTTGGCATCAGATGGACACACGAATAAGGAAATGCTCAAATTCGGATCTGATCGTAATAACATCGTGCCATTCGTGAGGGCATCTTTTGTCATCGTATGATCCCCGGCTGAATATTACCAGCTCCGGCAGCAACTTCGTGAGCGGTTCCAAAATCTTTGGCATGCCAAACAATTGCCCGAAGACATTGCGAAGGTTCATTTTCGTGTTGAATTCGTATGTCAATTTTGCCCTTCGCAAGGCCATCGTGAAGCCATCTTGTCAAATCGTGTGGTCTTCGTCTTTTCTTTGTGTGATCATCGATGCAATCTGGCATTTTTAGCCTCAAGAAGACAATACGAAGTAAACACGAAGATTCCCGATAGTCTTAAAAAGGGAACACGACTACGTGAAGCCCTCGCAATACCGTCGTGTCACCATCGTATTTTGGTACGATGTCATCGAGATGGGACCACGATGAGGCCGAAGAAAGCATTTTTAGTGGCTCAACCGTTGCATGTTTATCATGGTGGACATAAAAACGGCTAAACCATCTTCCTCATCTGTCACTCTTGCACATGTCTACAGAGACATCAAAAGCTTCCATTATTTGCAATTAATTTACAATAATTTTCAGTAAATTTCCCACAGAATTCCTTGCTTTGATGATGAGTCAACCGAGAAAAAGAAGGCAGCAGCACAGAAAACATGATAAGGCCCACAGGCCCACCTTGGGTAGCATGATAAAGTTTTATCAAATATGATAAACAAGATCAACAAGGAAAGGTAGCGTTTAATGAACGCAACCCCAACGACCCAGCAACTAGAACCAAGTAACACAAGAGGACCCTCAGAAAAACGGAAAGGGCGCAAGGTAAAGCACTGATAGGCTTATCACTTAAATGACACATAAGACGAATTAATGGTAAACGACAAGGAAATCAAGGAAAACAAATAAATGATTGATTTATTAAATACATAAAACTAGGGGCAAAAGGGAAAATACTTACCGTAGATGAGAAAACAACAAGGGACACTGACACAAGTGTCACCAAAACAGTATGAAATAACAAAGACATGCATCTGAGGAACAAAGAGGGGCGCCGCCTTAGTCCGGTCAGCAGCATAAGTACTACTGGGCAGTTAAAACCGGTTAATGGTGCACCAAACCTCACTGTTAGCCCATCATGTTCCTATAAACGAGACGGTGTAAATAAAATGAATCCCCGCCAAGTAGAGGTAAATTTATAACAGTTGTTATGGTAAAACACCGAAACGATCATGTACAATGAATAAAGGAATACACATATGATCATAACAAAAGTACTCAATATTTTAAAGGAAGACAGAGTAACAAAAAATCACCTACAAGGGCCCGACGAAGCAAGGCAGAAGACGAACATTAAGGCAATTCAGTCCCAAAGGGCATTAAGAACTGTCCATCATAGAGTATATCACTTGGTCCGTCGAGGAAAGGACCAATTGTTAAAGTGTTGAACACTAAGCATGCGGTATATCTAAAAAAGTAGGGTCAAAACCTCTTTTGGTTAAACGTTTAATAATTTTAGTAAAGGCAACAGAAAAATTACAATGACCAAAGATCTTGCGAAGTTTGTAAATAACATCTCCATTAAAATCATTTTTGAATCACTACTGAATTTTGAGATTAAATCAAAGTTACGATTGTAAAATTTTGTAAAATATTTACGTAATTTATAATAGCGGTAGCCCTGTTTGAGTAGCTTACTAGTAATGAAAATATTTAGCTTGTTAAAATCCTTCACGTTGCTAAAAGCTCTAGCGAATCTTATTTACTGAGATACATATACCCCGTCAGATGTTGCATGCGGTACGTCTCCATCTAAATGTGGATAGTTTACTATACCATAATCAAAGTCATCACTTTTATCATAGATTTTTGTGTGAATAGAATTGTTTTTGATAGTAATATGAAGAGCCAAAATAAAGTTTAAACGTAGTTTAATTAGCTCCCAATACTATCTGCAACTGAAATTTGCCGCGGTTGGCCGTGGGTTGTATACCACCCGGAGGTGAAGGTCACTTGACGCCTTCGTAACCACGTACGAAGGCATCGTACTCAAAATACGACGTCGTGTACCTATCCTGTGACCTTCGCGTGTCCTGCTGGTAAACTACTTGGTACAAAATTGCATCTTTGAGGTGACTTCGTGTGTGTATCGGATGCCATCGCGTGACCTTCGGTAGGAATCGTGTGTGGCTCGGATGCGATCGCGTGACCTTCTGTAGGAATCGTACTTGTTTCGGCTGTTGAGAGACTGTCGACCAATTTCGGGGCTATCTTCGCACGAAATTAAGAATTTCATATTCGTATGCCCATCTGGTGTCAATTTCGAGACAGTGTGACGCCTGCATTAGCGGTTTCGTTCTATCTTATTTTTATATCTGATGCTCCGTACGTCATTTCAGTTTTTTTTTGTTATATATTCTGTCCTTCGGGATAATTGATTTCAGAACCGTATTTTCTCGCATATCAGACATGATTATCTACCGTTACAGTTTAAGCCCCCATGTAAGACAAGTTACGTGCTTAAAATGTCGTCATTGCCGCGCGTCTTTTATAAATAAATTACGTTCTTAATATGACGTCATTTTACCGTTATGAATGAAGTTGTAAGTTCATACGTTAATATAAGAAAAAAGTGCGTAATGAGAATATCTGTTTCCGTAATTTCTGTTCTGAAAAGAGCCTCGTTACCGCCGTAAACAGTTACCCTCGACCTAGATATTCCAGTCTGTACCGGCAGGCAGTGTAAGATTCTTATAGTATTAAACATTGAGTTCTGCTTATTCTGTTACTAAGAGGCGGGATAATTGGTGCGAAAAAATAATAGAGACAAACTAAATTCCTTTAGAAAGCACAAAACGACAAAATTGAAAATGTTGCAGACTCGGTTTGATTGAGCTTGTTCATATACGGTACTGAAAAGTGCAAGTTACCGTCCATGCTCCTTAGCACCGCATAAGCATTTAAGCAAAGCAAGTTCCGTTTTCTCTCATCAATAGATTCACCCAAACCGAGTCTGCAATTTTCACTTTCTAACCTGGTTGTCAGTGCTCCCGGGAGATCTATTCTTTTTCGAGATTTATTTTTTAACTAATTACGTACGATGCCATCGACTCTTCATAGACGGCTATCGTTTAAAATATGCTTACAGACGCTAAGCAAAACTTATTAGTTTTATTATATACTTTTAAATAAAATATTGAGAAATATTGATGAAATAAAATGTGTATTTTCATTTTCCGTATTTTCACTGTAAAAATTTATTTTTCACTGCAGTAAAACATATTTTCCGTATTTTCAATGGTGTCTTGCCGGACTACTTTCTTTTAAATTCTGCCAGTACTCAAAATTTAAGGGAAAGTCTTTCAAATTTTAATGTCAAGAAAGAGAAAAATGTCTATAATAAACAGAAAATTCAAGTTTTTTCTATAAAAACATGATTTATTTTCATCTTGTGGCATGAAAATTACCATATTTCACTCGTGGCTACCGCCACTCATGAAATATTTATTTTCATACCACTCGATGAAAATAAATCATGTATTTATAGAAAAAACTTGAATATCCTCTATATCTTTTTTCCCCTCAGCATCACAAGTTTGTCTTCAGCTTATAATAACGTTTAAAAATATTCGCTTAACTTAACACTTTTTGCATGAATGACCTCTTTGAATTAATAAAATAAAGTTTTTATCGTGAATTCGCTTTATTTACTTCAAATGGCATAAAAGAAGATACTGTTTATTTGAGGTTTTTTTAATTAGGCCAAGACATTAAAAACAGTGCATCAAAAATACATTTTTTAAATAAAATGAAGTTTTTATCATGAATTTCATATATATACATCCGGTATAACCATAGTGATATTTTGTTGAAAATTACTTTTTATCTTCAAGCGTGTCAGAAATACATTTTAGATCAGTGATTAAAAATTTCTAATAAGCTTGGTTTAAATTTCCATTTTCCTCTTATTTGTTGTTTAGGTTGCGTTCAACAAGAATCACGTGCACATTCCACACTTTTCATTCTAAAATAGGGTATATTTTTGAATAAATGCAACACGTAGATTGGGTTGAACATTCATATATGTTATTCTGCAAATATATAAAAAAGCTCTCAAAAACACAATGAACAGACGTGAATTTTTGCCTTCATTTCTCATTTTCAAAGTATTTAATATAACCGGTTCTTTCCTTAAATATATTCATCTTTTTAAACTGAAATGATTTGTTCAAACTTGCGTGTTAATAATTTGTTTTAAGAAAATAGATCATATTGGTTGTAGAATTCTGCGTATCCTTTTGTTGTTGCCGTTTATTAATTGCTATATTTGCGTATTTCAAATTTTACTCTATTTCGGATTGCAATATTTCATTTAAAAAATAGAAGCATTTAAGAGTGTCAAATATTTCATAAGATGATGCTGTTTTTACATGTTATCTTTAAACTCTGTTAACCTCGGAACAATTATACGAGTTCCAAAAGTTTCAAATGTAATACATTGTTAAAAGTTGTAATTCCATATGTTAAGTCATATTGAAGTAAGGTGACATAAAATGATATGCTCGATAAATCTATTAAACTACTTCAGGTTCATCATGTGCAATTTACAGTAAATAATCTTTGTTATTTAACAAAGAAGTTTTGATTATTTTCCCAATTAATTTTGTGTCCTTTCTTTGCTTGTTTTGTCCCTTGGATTAATCAACCAGTAATTGACCGACACGACATTTCCATTCCTGGGCAGGAGGAAGTAAAAACACAATGTTGTTGTCCCGGACATATTCCATTTGGACATGCTTGACACTGATCTGGTGACACTGCAATAAACAAAATGAGCCGCGCCATGACAAAACCAACATAGTGCGTTTGCAACCAGCATGGATCCAGACCACCCTGTGCATCCGCGCAGTCTGATCAGGATCCAAGCTGTCGCTATCAGTTTCTCTTTTTTGTAATAGGGCTGGTAAGCGAACAGCATGGATGCTGATCAGACTGCGCGGATGGACAGGCTGTTCTGGATCCATGCTGGTCGCAAACGCACTATGTTGGTTTTGTCGTGACGCAGTTCAAATAGTATTGGCATGTTACGATTGAATTCAATGCAGACAGTAACACTCAAGAAATTCGTAAAAACATTAGTTTTAGAAAGTTTATAAAATATAATTATTCTGCACTGTTTAAGAAATCAACATTTTGCATTTATCTTGACGAAATTAAAAGAAAAAAATAGACAACATATAACTAGTCTTTCATTATGACACTATTTTATAGCTTTTATATATTACTAACTCACCCTATACATGTATATGCTTTTTCAAGAGAAGACATTTTATCATACATTTATGAAATAATTTTTCAGATTCTGAGCTTTACTGGACATCACGATCACCTACAGTGAACATCATATAAACTTTATCAAATTCCTCTTTTCCTTTCTATTTTAATTTTCAAATATTTATTTCTTATTGTTATATTCTTATAGAATATAGGTGCTCTTAACATTAACTCACATTCTGCGTTCACTTGGCTGACTGCAACATTTCCTGAATCGGCTTGATTAATTTGATTGTTGTTGTCATTGTTGATATTGATATGAAGTTGTAAGCGTTCTGACAGATCTAATAATCTTGACCGTCCGTGTAGAGATTCTCCTAATCCTGTACCTGGACCTGTGGCACCTCCACTAAGAGCTCTTTGTAATAATTCAGCCTCCTGTGCGGCTATTTAGAAGAACAATAAATCTTTAATATAGTAGTTATTGTCTAACTGATCTTTTTAGTAGCTTATAGTTATAATCTTATCGGACTAAAGGTAAAACAGAAGTAAAAGTCATTTACACAATATACATATAAAAGTGTAAAAATACAGGGAAGAGCCGAAAAAATAAAAAAAAGTCATATGGAGTCAAAATGTACTTCAAAATAGGAATCCTGTACCTAATGCAAAAATGCGATAATTATCAAATTGTCAATCCTGACTTTACTTACTAAATACATTTTACCAAAACATGTAATTCGTTAAATGATAATATATTAAATTTAATATAAAATCGATTAAATTCTGTTGAAAAGTTAACTATGAAAAAAAAAAATAAGTTCAAAGGGCCTTTTTACGTATTTAGGAGGAGATGGTTCATTTCGGTCTTTGTAGAAAATTACATAATAGACAGTCATAAATCAAAGTACATGATTGCGTGGAATTATATCAGTAGAATGTGTGTAAAAAAATAAATCATAAACGGTGTTACTTACATAGACAATCGTACCTTGCACGACCAAAACCATGCCTTACAACAGTACAAGAGCGACCGTGACATACCCGGTATCTATACCAATTCTGTAAATATTTAAGTACTAACTCAATGAAAATGGACTTACGTAACTTAAAATGTTCTCTCTTATGTTTAGTTGTTCTATGTAACATTTGAGTATAAGCCTGTAGAAGGAGTATTATTTTAGCTGCCCTTCTCGGTTGCAGTCTATTTGGGCGTTTCGTTAACGGAATCCCTTGTGGTTCTTTTTTATTCATATTTTAAATATTAACCAACTTTTTACATAAAAAATCAATTAATCATAACCTTATAATCCAATAAAAGTAAATGTAGGAAATAAAGTCTTATAGGAGTTGAAAATTAAGATCTTGATATAATAATTCAATTTACTATTTCTTCCGGCATGCACAGAATGTATCACTCTCGACACTCTTTTTCTTCAATATTTACTAATCAAATTACCAATTGCATCCACGATTGAGCAGAAATCTTTAAGCTTATATGAAACATGTGTCACTCTTACATAGGGTAAAGTAAGCATTAATAAAATTCATCTTTCCGTCGAGACGCACTTGCGCGACAGATGTATTGGGAACAATGTTGATTGTACAAAGACAAAACAGCTTTGTGGCTGAAATTATGTTTTGAAATTTTACACAGCATGATACGCTGATAATATCATATAATATCAAATGATAAGTTGTTGTTGAGTAAATGTTTCCAAGAATTTGAAAAAAGAACGCTTAAATTTGACAATATATTTTTTTTCAACCACTAAATATATCAAACACAAATTTTGAATAAAAATGCTCGACTTAAAAAGTAAGTAATTGAGAAATTGAGCACTATTATTTATCCATATAATGTATTGTATTACTAGTTTCTTTGAAATGACTAAGTAAATACTTACCGGACAGGGGATAGCATCAACTGTATGGCTAATACATATGACCAGCAACTTTAAAGAAATAATGTACAATATAAGACTAAGCAGGTCATACAAATTAAACAACAGAGAGAGAGGTTTTAAGGTAATTTTAACATTTACTTTTAGTTATTTTATATTTTTTAAAGATTACAATGTATTTTTTGCATGTAGAACTGAATCTGATTATTGCAAAATAATATCCATATGAAAACAGAATGAACAAAATTTTACATTAAGTAAGTATTATTTTTGACATGTTTTAAGGTCAAAACTTTAATGATAATGGATAAATTAGCAAGCAACCAATACTTTATGACCATGAAACTGCTTGTCTGCACGACTATCTAACACGATTATATAAATTATTTTAAGGAATTAATAAGACTGTCAGGTTGTTTTATTCGATAGCATAATGTTTAAATCCGCATTCAAAGTTTTGTTGCAATAAAGTAAACATTTCTTACCAAAAAATAAATGACCATTTTCGATTTTTCCGTATCCATTTTGAACATATTAAACTAATGACTTGACAAGTACATACAAAGTATATATCATTCAATATAAGTTGATAAACATACATTTACTTAACAATACTGTTACGTCAAACGAACGATGTCAATCGACAGTGATAGGAATTTAAAAGAGGGCCGATTCAAAACCCATTTTATTTCTAGTTCTTTAAAACCAAGAACAAGAATAAAATAATAATTACTCATATTTACTAAGTCAAGACCTTTTTCAGCTGGGGACTGAGGACATGGACGTTACATGTTACGTTTACGCATACGTCCAATCAAACCGAGCGTGTAGCATGTTGAAAACTGCCCTGTATGACATTCTATTTTAAGGTTTAGTTTATTCAATTTTAGTCTTTATTATTAAAATACAATATTTGCCAGTAACACAAATACAATTCTAAATACTTTATACTTTACACATAGTTATTTCAAACAAGTATACACATTTACAATTTACAAATAGAACTTTACAACGCATGAAATGAATGAAAAGGGATCAGAACCGAAAGTTGATGCTTATATAGGTCTTATCCTAGTTTTTATTTGCTAAATATTGTATGTACATGGGTAAATAAATACTTTGGAATAAAGCAAGCGAAACATATAGTTCCAAGCTATGGGAAGTTTTTGCTATTGGTATTTATGTATATCGACTGTCTTATTTTAAGAAAGAATAAAAAAAAATTTGAATGTGATCGACATGTTTTGTAACACCCAAAAGATGTAAAACAAATATTGATGGCGCATAAACAACCGATCATTCACCTCGAGTGATTAATGAGGCAAATAAAAGTATCGATCAGTGCTGTACTGAGACTTACCACTAACGCAGTTAATGTATTTTTTCAGAATAATAAAGTACATATTTTATATTCTTATAAATTCTCAATAGAAACAGATAATGTCAAGTTTTGTAACCTGGTTACCATACATCGACACGTTTATTTTTATGTAAAATTTGTGGTAAATACATATAAATATATAGAGGATATTCAATATTGAGAAACATTGATGAAATAAAATGCGTATTTTCATTTTCCGTATTTGCACTGTAAAATTAATTTTTCACCGCAGTAAAACATATTCCATATTGTCACTGATGTCTAGCCGGACTTCTTTCTTCTATATTCAGCAAAGACTCAACATTTAAGGGGAAGTCTTTGAAAAACAGTTTGTAATGTCATGAAAGTAAACGTTGTATATTATAAACAGAAAATTTAAGTTTTTTCTATAAATTCACGACTTATTTTCATCTTGTCGTACGAAACTTATCATTTTTTCCTCACGGCTACCGCCTCTCACTAACTATTTATTTTCATACCACTCAATGAAAATAAAAATTGTACGAGATATTTATAGAAATCCTCGTATTTATAGAAAAAAAACTTGAATATCCTCTATATATTTATGTGTATTTACAATATATATTTATACATACAAATTAACGTGTCAATGTACGGTCAGAGAACTTGACTTCATCTTTTTCTATTTGTCAATTTGTGACATAAAATGATATGATTTAGGACAATGTCCATGTTTAGTACACAATTATGAAGTTTCTTGAAACTAACGATTTGTTTCTATTATGTAAAGTATAAGGATTTGATTGATTGGAATACGAGTGAATCGAATCACAAGTGTTAAGATAGATTTTTTTTGTGAAGAAAGACCACTGGCGGCCCATCAACTCTCCATGGAAAGATTATTAACGTATTTAATGTATGAACTTAATATTGAATGCCAAACTAAGTGCCTCGAATCCAGAGATATAAGGTTACAGTTTTGACAGATGGATTTATCATTGATATTGTCGGTTAACATCTGAAGCAAGTTTTCAGAAAATCCATTTGAAGGTACAGTATATATAAAACGAACATGAAGTCGCTTGACATGTGACTTTGAAGTGATACATAAATCTGTAGCCAATAATTCTCCATTGTTCACTGTGAGATTGCCTTGTTCATGTAGACATTTTTGTACAGTTTTAAGAAGTCTCTTCAAAGGAATAGGGGTAAAATGTTTCCACACGGTACCAGAAGTTTCAGAAGGAAAACACAAAAGAAGACTTAATTAGGCAATCATATTGAGGGCAATGCAGTAAATGATAACGAAAACATAGATATTTTTTCTTTATTGTCATAAGTGTTTATTTTATATTTTTACCGAGGAGTAAAACAAATATATATTAAAAAACACATTGCAAAGTACATATAACATTTTTTTCCAACGAATTGCATGTGATCCAACAATAAATACTACCAAAACAACAAAAGCTTTAATATTGCATTCTTCCCTCTGGTAAGTAAACGGTTCTCCGACAAATGTCGACATCCTTAAATATTGTACAGCGAAAATGTCTTGAAAATTTTAATCACTTGTAAGTAATGAAAATTGCTTACTATATCTGTGGCCTTCACTTATATTCACTAAGAAAAGATCAGGATCAGGATCAAGTGATCCTGGTTTTATTTTCTTTGTTTTTTATAACTAATATTGATCGTTTTTTGCTAGAATAAAATGGTCCATATTCAAAATGTACAAATAATTTAATTTGCAAAGAAACAAACCTATTTGGGATAAAATCTATGAATAATAAAACAAATACAAAAAATAATCAGATCAGAATAAGGATCAATTTTAGGATCAAGATCAATATTTGGATCAACTGTGAAATACCCATATCTTAAAGAAAAAACGATAAATTTATTCTAAAATTTCATAAACATGCTATTTCAAGTCAAGTTTTATCATGTTAATATTAGATATTTAATCTATGAGGATAAACAATGGAGAATATTTGAGTTTTAAGATTTGATCCTGATCTTGATCCTGATTCTTAAATCTTTGTGAACACGGGGCCAGAAATCAACCTTTTGCAGAATTTGATATCACAATGCACTATGTGGCTTTTTAAGGTAAATGATATGTTTGTTAAAGATTAAATGACTCTGTGTATTTTGCAGGTCGTTTTTATTGTGTTTGCTTTATATTCTGAAGCCTTATGTTAGGTTTATATTCTTTAATAGAACATTCTTTCAATACATGTAGCAAGTGGATAATCTGGTGCTCATTTGCTACTATAAAACTTGCATTGTCATTATGCTTAGGCAATAAAACATTATAAACGTTTATTTGGATTGATATATGAACATAATACTATATCAAGATATGATTATGAAATAAGAGACTTTATCATAACAAGTGGGATGTATTCATGTGTTTTTATATATATGTATATGCAATATGGCAAATAATATTAACATTAAAACTGGTGTTTTCTGTTTATAGGTATTTCCAATTTGTGTCCAGTAGTCCTTGTTTTGAGTGTTATCTACCGACGATTGAGCGACATGACATTTTCATTCCTGGGCAATCAGCAGTAAATATGCAATGTTGATTTCCAGGGCATCTCCCGTTTGAGCACCTTTGGCACTGGTCAGGTGACACTGAAATAAAAAAGGAAATATAATAAAAATAACTTAAATAGTTATACAATGTATTTTGCAGGGCGGAAAAATGTATTTGTAAATGAGATTACAGTATTTATTGAATGAGTGTTTTTCGGTTTCTTCTATTTAATATTTTGTCTAAATCTATTGTGCTCGGGGTGAGAGGTGATGCACATAACATTTTCTCTCATGAACAGCCTCAATGAAACAGACTTTTAAATTGTCACTATTTGCTTTGTGTTCGTTTCTCTCGTATTCGTACTTTCTTTGCTCAGGTTATTTTCTTATTGTTCACTTTATATATACAGACACCGGCAATTGATATGAAATAACAATATTTGCTTCATCTAATTACCACAAAATTAGATTCGGAAATATTGTTAAAAAATACAGGTGTATTTTAAAGAGTTCCTTTATAATTTCATTTCGCAGATTCTTCCGTTTTTTAACATAAGAGTTTTGTTGTTTTTAACCGTATCATTTCATGTAAATAACGTAAATTTTCTGATAATAGTTCCGAATACATTTTATTTCTTTTTTGTCTTATTAAATGAGTTTAACTTACATTGAGCATTGACTTGGCTTACTGCAACATTTCCCGAATCCGTTTGTTGTATTTGATTATCATTTGTATTGTTTATATTGATGTGAAGTTGTAAGACATCCGAAAGATCTGTAATACTTGGCCTCAGAGATTCTCCTATTCCAGTACCTGGACCGGTGGCGCCACCATTTAAAGCTCTTTGTAATAATCTATACTCCTCCCAACCTGGATGCAAAAACATAAATAAATACTAAATAAATCTCTCATTTTAACTTTCAATACTTATTTATAAATGGATTTAAAAATCAAAGCTTTACCAATTGATACGAAACTTTGCTTTTTGTAATAAATTGCTATAATCATATGCTCATTTATCAACATAAAATTAAAGATTATACTGGCTTATCGTTTGAAGTAAGAATATTTTTAAAAAATGAAACAGAAAATTTCAATGAAATCCATGAAATTCTTATTTGCGAATTTCTTTAAAAGGAATGAATAAATCTCGTATGGAAGCCATTCCCTGATTAAAATAAATATTGGCATTCTTTTTTTTTTAGACAAAGTCTTATATAATGTACACAACTATTATTTCATATTGTGTCCACCGTAGTGGATAATATATTATATTTGTAAAGTCAAAAACATGTTTACTTTCATATTATACAAAGACTACTTTTAGCAATTACATGTCTTCCTTTTATCAAATTTGAGAGATATATTTTGAATTTCTCGTATACCAAATACTTTGAAAAATGAAAGTGAAATGTTCTAGAAATTGTCAAGATTTGTAAATAATCACGAGGCAGTATATCTTCGCACCAAATCCATATTAAAAAAATACTTGCAAGGTCGATATAAACATCACGATATCTATACCATGCCTGAAGATAAAAATAAATACAAAAACTTACAAAACGACGAGCATCATTTACTTTAAATTTAAATTATGTTCGTGATTGTTCTCACAGAGAAGCACGATAGTATATCTATAGTTTATAGTACAAATCACACCATTCTGCTTAGAATACTGCCGCATTTCTTTGAAAATTATGAAATCATTTAGATCTATCGAACAATACCAATACCTTTGAAAATAATTTGAACATATATAGTTATCTTAGTTATCACTAAAATAATCACAAGAAGGTCCAATCCACGAAAACCATAAAAAATATCCTGGTCCTAGTAAGACGTCGTAAATAAGCCTTAGATTGTGATTTTTTTTCTAGACGAGTACAGTAATACTATGATGAGCATTTGAACTTTGATTAGCAAAGCAGAATTTGAAGCAAATACAACAATTGCAGCTAAGATGTATTTTATAAGCAGAGAGAACATATATTATATGGAATATATATATAAGTCTATATATAAGCGTATTTACTAAAAGGATTAAGTCGTGAGTTCAAGGAAAGTTGAGATTACAACATAAACTTACCGGACAAGGGATAGCATCAATGGTATAGCTTACACATATAGCCAGCAACTGTAAATACAAAAATGTAAACCATTTCTAAAAAAGTGTGCACATGGCAAAGCAGTGCGTAAAAACGGACAACAAAAGTTTCAACTGAAACATATTAAGATATCTTTTTCAAATTTAGAACTGAAGTTTGTTTATCTGATGGATTTCACTCTACTGGATTAAATAAGGATATGATCAAACTCAAATGTTTTGGTTTGGTGCCTAGTCTGACACTGATGGCTTAAACCAGTCGCCATTACCACTGAATCTCAATTTGGGACCGTAAAATATGACAACAAATACAGAAAGACGCTAATAACTGCTACATGGTAAGACTCCAATTTGTTAGTCATTCATATAACGTCCAAAGGTTAATGTTAAATCTTCGAAAAATAAACTTTTAATGTTGCAGTTTTATCATAATGCTCTATCATGTATCGTTAACTCACAATTCATTTATTGTATCATTTCTATTGTTAAAGAAAAGAAAATTATTCTTACCAAAACATATATGAAGTTTCTGTGTATTTCCGTATCCATTTTGAAGTCACTAAATAAATGAATTGAAGAGTGCTTACTTGATATATATCGTTTACTTAATTTGCATTTGGTGATCTAACGCGCCAATCATTAACATTGCCTTTACGTCAAACAAATCAATGTCAATCAAGGATGACAGGAATTTAAAGAAGGGCCCATCCAAAAGATCGCACGATTCAAACCACTATTACAATGCAATCCTTTATTTGACCCCGTTATAATTATTCAATTATAGAATGGTTAATGTATTGTTAAAGGATTTTTATTTGGGATTACAGCCCTAGTTTTTTATCATTTTGTCAGTGATAATATTTATTCAGAGTCGCTGCCTCACTTGAAAAATCTAGGGATAATGAATAAGCAAAGCATACTTTGTAACATCCATCTAATGCAAAACAAAAATTGATATAATGCACTTACAAACGACCATTCACCCTGGCTGATTGATAAGGCAAACATTTTTATTGGCCAGTGTTTTACTGTATCAATGATATAGAAACCTCAAATAAATATATCTTTATTGGTTATTAACATATAGACTGATTTGAATTGCAAAATAGCCAAATTGTTCATTAATTGGTCTATTTAAAATCGAAATTATCGTTAACAGTAAAAGTTTAACTCGAGCTTTGTCTTTATTTAGAATTCTTTTAATTTACATATTGCAATAAAGTCAGGTTAACATATTTGCTTTAATTACATGCAGAAGTTTTTGCAAGCTTGATTTCAGGTTGTATGTTTTTATTTTTTTATACCTTTATCAGGTTAATTCATAATGTTCCCTTTGTAGAAACGAAATCACTGTATCATTTGCAGAAACCCTACGCAATTCAATGTATATATGCGTTAATGTGTTTACAAGCAACTTTTATTTTCAATCACTGTATCATGTATTGCAAGCTGATAAAATTCAAATTGTGTATCATCAAAGGAAGCAGAAGTTTTTCTTCACAATATTGTTTTTGTATGTGTGAACTATGTTAGTGAACTTTATGTGATACAACTCAACACTTCAATTTTCCCATAGCCTCCGAATGCTGTAGTCTGTGGAGATATATATGACAGACAGACACCAGTTATGTATGTATGTCTCTTGGAAGTCTAAACAAAATGTGTAGATTTACTTGTATCGTAAGGCACAAAACAATATGCCTTAATATTTGGAAACCACAATTTATATTAGTGGTGAGTATATATTTGATCATTTTCTGAGGACATGTGTAACTGAGATATCATAAGTCTGGAATGTATAAAGGGAATTGATTAAATAATTGATCTCAGCTGCTAAAAGAAAGCTATTATAAACGATTTTTATCAGGTAATCTATTATTTAGATTAACAGCATACATGAAAAATTTCACGTTTGCAGGCAAACGGTGTCATAAGGCATAGTCACGTATGCTGAAGCAAAATAATAAATAAACAAACAAACAAACAGCAACCAACTGTTTCAACGCAACCTGCTCATTCTAGTATCAGTCTGGAAGAGGATTGATTCCTGATAAGCAGTAAAACAATAATGTATGCGAATTGCAGACTCGGGCGTATTGAGTCTGTTCAACAGAGATAATATAGATTTAAGCGCAACATCTCCCAATCACCCCATCTCCAGCTTTGAAGGTAATCAATATCTTCAACAATAACGTGCTGCAGGAATCACTGCTCAAAAGACCAGAACAATACAACAATACTGAAGTGAAGTTTGAGGCAACTTTTAGCAGCTGCCACACAGCACTGGACACCTGTTGTTGTGAAGTAAAAACCAATCAGGAAATTAGGTGAAAAAACGGAATCCCTAAAGAACGCCCAAAGCGTCAAAATTAAAAATGTCACAGGCTTTGTTTTATTGAGCCTGTTCATGGATGATAGTGGACAATGTATGTTACCGTCCAATCCCCTTTAACACTTGAAATGTTAAATAAATTACGGTAGCAACGAAAATTATAAGTGGTGTAATCCAGTAAGTGACGTTGCGTGTTACAGTTACCTCATATATACAAAAATCTCCTAAAAATCAGACTTTACTATAAGACATAAGATCAGTTCATCATTATATGAAATCATATACAATGTAATATACTAGTAATTGACGGTAATAGACATTTGTAATATCCTCGCTAAAATCATAAAGTAAGAAAATATTTAAAAGTTATTCATGCAATAGTTTCACATTTACTCATTTTGTGAACATAATTTTACTAAATTCATTCCTTTGACGTCAAAAAATAATTAAAACAAGAAAATGGAACACATTATAGATTTTCTTTTATTGCAAAGCAAATCGCTTAAGAACATATACAACGATTATAAAAAGCTATCTAAATACAAAAGCAAAACATACTGCGAAACAAACTAGCAAATTGTCGCTTTATGTTATTTTCACAACTATTATACTCTCTTCTTTTGCATTTTTGTAATAAAGTAAGATAATGACAAAATACAAAATATGATGAAAAAGAACAACAAGGAAAGGCGGCGTTCAAAGAAAACTAGATCATTTGATTCCTTTTTGTGAGATGTTTTGCTTTTATATAAAACAATATAAATAAATCGTCCTCTAAACAACACGTGGTTTTGCAAATCCAAGAGGGATACCTTGATTTCCATGTCCAGCTACTGGTTCTACAAATCCAAGAGGGATACCTTGGTTACCATGTCCAGCCACTGGTTGTACAAATCCAAGAGGGATACCTTGGTTACCATGCCCAGCCACTGGTTCTACAGGTAGATCAACTTCTGGATGTGTGATTTTCGGATGAATTCCTGGACCAAGAACATCATGGATGTCAACTGGAACAAGAGGACCAGGATGTTTTGGATGCATGGGATCAACAGGAGGCGTAGGTGTAGCAGATTGTGATGCAACTTGGTTCACATCCACATTTCCTGACCCGTTTTGCGTGAGAACATTCTTATTGTTATTATCGACGGTCACATTATGACGTTTTAATCCAGTCATGTCATTAACAACACTTGGACGTGGGCCAATTTTATGAGCGTGAAAACCGGGCAATTCCGTTGGAACATACCCACCGAAAGTTTGAACTTGGCGTCCAAACACGGAAGGATATCTGGTTATACCGATCGGATATCTAGATCTGCCTGTCCTTAGATTCCAATTATCTCTTACATAGGGGTCTCGGAAGCCAAGATATGGGCGTCCAAAATATCCAGAATGATATCGGGATCCTCGATAACGATTAAATCCGAAATGATCTGCTCTTGTATATGGACTTGCTGGTCTGCCTCCCATAGCCTGATGTAATAAAGCGGCCTCCTCACCTCCCGAGTCTTAAATAAATGTTATAAACATGTATACCCGATTGGTAATATCTGTCAAATATAATGTTTTACATCAAAATATCCGTCCCTAGGGTACCTGTCTACTGGGCGGTAACATGGTTTGCCCATAGGTATGTACCTGCAGGACGGATATTCTGATCCGAACGGCACATGTCAGTGTTTTCCTTGCGAACGCATGTGATATGAAATGCTTTATCTCAATTACGTTGAAATTAATTTCATTTTCTTCGTATCTTTTTTTCTTATAGTATTGTATGATTTTACAACTACTTTTATAAAAACAAACGGCGGAACGAATTGACATAAATACACCTGTACATGTATCTATGACAATGAAATTGGCATTTTTTCATGATGAGTTGTTAAGAGTTAAATTATATTTAGTAATACACATATTTGTATGATGAATTTTTCAAACTGAGCACAAAAAGACACCTTATAGCTGAACCTTTTACTGTATGCTCGCACATAACTCTTAACATTTTTGAAAAGTATAGCATTTAACACTCACTGATACATTCTGGACGTGCTGGACCGTAGTCCTGTCTAGCCATTGCACAAATTTGGCCAACAGGACAATCGAAGCCGACCTGAAAAAAGTCAATAAGTTTCAAGTTGAAATTGCATACCTTTTTCGCAAACCTCTTTTAAACTACATGACTTAACGTCCCATGTATTAAGTATACAGATTTTTGACGGGTTATATAGCCATATATAAACGATTGTTTGCAAATACATGTATAACCAAAGTCACATGCTGTTTACAAATGTGGTTTAAGAAATGGTATAGGTACAGAATAATCAAACTAAATAATTTAACGAATACAAAAATACGATTGCAATCTTGACAAAATTTCAATTGGAAATGATATAAATTGCAAATATTTCGTCTAACATAAACCTAATGTTGTTGTTTTGGTTCCACTACGTAGCATTTTGTTAGACCATTTGCTATTATTAATAGAATACATAAAAGACTATGTTACAAATACAAGTTAATAAAAATACACTTACCGGACACTGACCAATCGCAATGCTCAATACAAAAGAGAGAACCTTTAAAAAATAATATTAAATTTAAGAACTGAACATTTTCAGTGAATGAAGATTTGGTTATCAAGTAATACAATTACAATATGTATTAGCATTACATAATTCTTAATTATAATAACTGCTTTAGTCATATGCAGGACACATTACATTGGGCAACAGTTGCAGTTGGACTAGCAATTTAAGAGATTTTCGTCAAGATCTTTTTAAAAAAACATTATATCATTAACCAATATTGGCGACCAGATGAGGTTCAAACAATTCATGTCATTCAAATATGTTTTGTGAGTTGAGGATTTATTTATACGCCAAACGTGTAAAAATATTTTGTCTTGTGATCTATCTTCGCCCATTTTTGCATCGCACATGTTTTTCGAGGAAATGCTTTAAAAATAACAGTGGCTGATATATACGCTATATCCTCATAAAGATCGACACGTGGTAAATTTTGTAGTGCGCTATGGCTTTGTTTGGTTTACAATTAAACTTCAATTATATTACGTAACAGTGACAAAGTTAATATGTTGCATGTTTAATACAATTGACCTTTTCAGTATAACAAGTACATGTACTACATATACAATACAGATATTCGTACAATATCGATATTGAAGAAGATAACAGTTGGTAAATAATCAAACTACGGTCAACCATTTCGTTTGCCATTTTAAACCATGATGATTTTAATAAGAATATCAAATATGCCTAGAAATTAACTCAGCATGAATGCTATAGATTGACAAAGTAACATTAGTAACTTATGTGCTTAATTAGTTGAATCAAATAACTAAATAATTCTGTTCTTGCATCTCTATTACATGTTAACCTTATCCGTCTGAAAAAAGCTATGTAAAAAAAAGAAAGATCACATAAAACAAGTTTAAACTTACCAAAAGTTTAATGATTACAAGTATTTCTTCATCCATTTTGGAAAGAAAACAAATGACAAGTACAAAGACAGTTATGTGAATTATTTACCTAATTAAACTGGTTTGTCATTATTTAGCAAGTATAATGAACTGTGTTAAACATTAGATAGATCTATTGTGTTTGTTCACCGAAAACAAATGAAAATGTGAAACGCAAAGGTGAAACGATAGCTAGATATTCATACAGTAAAGAAATATATTTGTTGCTATAAGCTTGAAAATGGTGGCAGATTAGATCCTTTCAGATCAATAGAAGTTGAAAGATGTAAATGTTTGTATAATTCAGAGATATTCTAAATAGTTTAAAATCGCGCCCACAACCAATAGACCGGCTCAGAAGTACAAGTGATTGCGAAGGAGTCCGCCCGAAAAGAATCGGATTAGTTATACAGGCGCCGCTGATTCCGTCCTCAAAGGAGGCGTTATTCGTCAATTTATCTCGAACGTTGGGTTAAGTTGTCGTTTGTCTGTCACATCTGATTCAAAAATCATTTCTGATTTGCAGTTGGTCACTTGTGAAAATTTGTTGAGAAATTGTTAATGACTTGTTTGCTATCAAGGAAAGCCGGTTTGATAGCTCGCCGAAATATGACCTAAAATTTTTAAAATCAGCATGAAAACGGCTAAATTAACACAGAATTGCAAAGCTCCATATCAAGTACTTGGCATTGTTTAACAAATTACAACAGCAATTAACACCTTGTGATGGGACTTAAAAACTGGTAAATTAGTAATGAACAGTTGAGAGAATTTGAAATAAATGGGGTGACCCAGTTGGGGCCTGAAAAAAAAAAAAAAAAAAAAAAAAGTAATGAACAGTTGAAATTGCTGACTGGATTTGACTTTGTTCATTGAAGATTTGTTCTTAAACAATTGGTTCAACATCTTTCACGCTTTAGCAGTATTCAATTGTCACCACAGTAAAAAAATTGAACCAATGATCATGAAGGACCAGAAAGATATTGCAACACAATGAAAGACGAAGTATGCTCAAGTACAGATGCCTTTCAGAAATTAAATCATCAAAAGAACGGCAAATATAAAGAGTCTGTTTCTATGTTTCCAGATTGCTAGATTTCAGTTATTTAGAGAAATTTATTTGAAGCGTAATGCAGTTAGAAATAAACTTTTGAAAGTATTTATATGGTCATACTTAACTCTGCCAGATAACTTAAATTAATTATAGCTTGTTATAAATGCATCAAATCGTATCAGCACATATATATAATTTTATAATACTGCACGTTTGTAACGTCGCTTTTCATTGGATAATCGTGACGTTTATATAGTTTTATATACACGGCTGTTGTCGATTCATGAAGAAATCTTACTTTTTTCTCTAAAAATGATGTTTGCTGTATTATAAATTCGTTATAAAGATTGTTGATAGGTTATATGGCCGTATATAAACGGCTGTTTGCAATATAACCCTCGCCTAGCGGCTCGGATTATATTTACAAACAGCCGTTATATAGGGCCATATAACATGTCAACAATCTTTATAACTAATAATATATCATTAAATAGATCTTTATTATTCAAATAGATAGCTCATATTTGTCTTCTCACTCTCATTGAACTAATTGAGTCGTCTCGAATGACTGTAATGGGTGATACTGGTGTTTTATAAATATCCTATACGACAATATACCATACTTCTCAACATGGTCAGTCATTGTATTTGACTTATATTTTCATGTTTTTATTAGTAAATATTTGATTTCTGTATGCTTCAACTACTGGAAACAAAGAGCATAGATCATTAAAGTAATCATAAAATAATTAAACGGACCAGTTTAAAGCAAAACATTATATACTAGTTTCTTTTTTATTTATTTTTCTTCAGTAATATCTGCATCATAAATGTATAAATTGGTTCTTGAGAAGTGACTTAACATTATTTAAAACTTCACAATCTTACAATAGCATCCTCTAAGATTTTATAGAAAAATTTACGTAGATTTTGTATCCATTTCACAGGCATTTCCCATGTTTTATAAATCATAAACATGTATTAATTACATGAGTGTTTCATGTTACAAGATTTTAATCGTTTTATACAAATTGTTGTAAATGCTGGCTTATTAACAATAGAACATTTTATTCTGTTGATATGCGATGAATTCAATTACTTTTCAATTTGATTTGAACTTATCTTATCTAACAATATATTAAATTGAGGAAAAACATTTGACATTTATTACTACAACTTAAAATAATAAGACATGCACAAAAAGCTTATACTGGGAAGCAACTCTTAACCTGTATTTATAAAAGTGATTCTTGAATTGTCTGTATTTTATTATAGATATAATGCAAAGCGCTGTAGGATACTGATATTTTAAGCGTTTCTTAATTTGGTGCGTTGTAAGGGACACAGATTGATTCAAACTCAGAAATACTACCTTTGATATTGTTTATTCACATACCTATAGGTCTACGCACACATCTCATTAATAAAATGAAAGTTTTATGACACAAAATTGCTTTGAGAAATATCATTTCAGATATCAAACAAAGACTGCCAGTGTTTAATTAACTAAATTGTTATTGTGCCGAGAAAGGAAGTTATGGAAATAAATATTGCATGTACTAGTAAAATTGTTTTAAAGCTATGATTCATTTAAGCTTCTGCTTTTGCGGTGCATTCATGTTGACCCCAGTTGAATTAATGAACATTATTATTTGAATGTACATTTTATGACTGAAAAATAATACCTTATAAAATGATTAACTATAGTATAATCATAATCAATAATTAGAAAATCAATATCAAATTCATTTTTATTCCATAGATATTTTGAATTAACTTTATTTATGCCGATACTTCAGCTTAAGGACTGTCTTAATCATATTTATTATTTCGCTAGGTTTTAATTCATACATACTTTATACAAGTGAATTGCTTCACTGGTAAGGAAATACCTAAGATTCTGCTAGACATTCATTATCGGCCAAACTTAATTGCTTCACTGGCGAAGAAATACTTTAGATTATGCTAGACATTCAATCCTCAATCAAAGTTTATTGCTTTACTGGTTAAGAAATAGCTTTGATATTAAACCGATATTAAATCATCAATCAAAGTAAATTTCTTCACTGGTGAAGAAATACTTTAGATTCAGCTAGACATTCATTATCAATCATAATAAATTGCTTCACTGGTGAAGAAATACTTTAGATTCAGCTGGACATTCATTATCAATCATAATAAATTGCTTCACTGGTGAAGAAATACTTTAGATTCAGCTAGACATTCATTATCAATCATAATAAATTGCTTCACTGGTGAAAAAATACTTTAGATTCAGCTAGACATTCATTATCAATCATAATAAATTGCTTCACTGGTGAAGAAATACTTTAGATTCAGCTAGACATCATTCATTATCAATCATAGTAAATTGCTCCACTGGTGAAGAAATACTTAAGATTCAGCTAGACATTCATTATCAATCATAATAAATTGCTTCACTGGTGAAGAAATACTTTAGATTCAGCTAGACATTCATTATCAATCATAATAAATTGCTTCACTGGTGAAGAAATACTTTAGATTCAGCTGGACATTCATTATCAATCATAATAAATTGCTTCACTGGTGAAGAAATACTTTAGATTCAGCTAGACATTCATTATCAATCATAATAAATTGCTTCACTGGTGAAGAAATACTTTAGATTCAGCTAGACATTCATTATCAATCATAATAAATTGCTTCACTGGTGAAGAAATACTTTAGATTCAGCTAGACATTCATTATCAATCATAATAAATTGCTTCACTGGTGAAGAAATACTTTAGATTCAGCTGGACATTCATTATCAATCATAATAAATTGCTTCACTGGTGAAGAAATACTTTAGATTCAGCTGGACATTCATTATCAATCATAATAAATTGCTTCACTAGTGAAGAAATACTTTAGATTCAGCTGGACATTCATTATCAATCATAATAAATTGCTTCACTGGTGAAAAAATACTTTAGATTCAGCTAGACATTCATTATCAATCATAATAAATTGCTTTACTGGTGAAGAAATACTTTAGATTCAGCTGGACATTCATTATCAATCATAATAAATTGCTTCACTGGCGAAGAAATACTTTAGATTCAGCTGGACATTCATTATCAATCATAATAAATTGCTTCACTGGTGAAGAAATACTTTAGTTTCAGCTAGACATAATTCATAATCAATCATAGATTCATTGCGTTTGTTTTTCATGTGGCAATATCATTTACTTTTATAGAGGCTGAGACTCACTGTGCTTGCAAAACAGTGTTGCGACTTTAAATAAAGTCGTTATTTTTATTAGTATTATTAGTATTATTATGGATATGTTCAAGTTCCTTTAAGCTAGTAGAACAATTGACCTTATACCACTTATCTCTGTAGCATTCTTACATTCAATAATGGCGGAAGTCACAACAGTCCAACATGGAGATATGGACTACAATATTACATGCTAAGCTTTAATATGATAACAATATAACAGTTATGTTCATTTTATTTCCATAAAAAGTAGCCAGAATGAAAAGCATTTCAAGCTTTACAAATATTTGTGTCAAACTAAAAATAACAACATGGATTATTTTTTCAAGCAATCAAGGATACTGATACTGATAAAAATACAATGCATTCATATAAATTCATAGAAACATGAACTATTGCCATCTGTAATAAGTCCAATAGTTCAATGCCATTTCTTGCAAATATTATGTCGTTTTTCATAATAAAAATTGTATGCACACTGAAAGCAATCTATAAAATACATATGTCAAGTGACTTTAAAACACACTTTCCCAGTACACGGTGTTTTGTTTATGCAATATGTAAATATGTCATTACAATCAGCGTGATTTGTACACGGTTTACATTCCTGTGTATTAATTGGCAAACGAGTTGTATCATTCCGACGCGTTGTTGTTGAATTAAATACTCCAAACGGTGATGCTGCTGTAGAAATAAGCATATTGTCTTGGTTTCTATTACTGGGAACAGGTGTCCTTTGAAAGGCGTGGTTTCTAGTCAAAGGTTGTCTCTGTACACCATTCTTTTTCAAAAGGCCAGGCCTTATTCCATCTCTTGCTTCAAGTGACTGTTCCCTGATGATATCATCTAATGTTACCGTGCGGCGTCCCACATTTCCTGAGCTAGGAATATCGTTGTCCTGTACAACCTGTGGTATCCATGACAAAGGTATCTGGGGCTCCGGATTATTACGATTTATTGTTGGTATATCTAAGTGATCGCTTGGTGAATTTGACCCAGGTAAATTTGAGGATGAAGGTCTTGTTCTAGGTAACCTTCTTCCAGACCCGATATTGTGCAATCCAGAAAGCATTGTTGACGGTCTGACGGACGACCTTTGTCGCTGTTGTACTATATAAAGAAGTTTAAAATAACAAATAAGGTAGATTGAAAAGTACAATGCTTAAAGATTCTCATACAGATTAATACTTGCCATACAGCTAAAATAACATTTGCTTCTATTACATATATGTTATAGGTATCTTTGTTTTGTATGGAACTCAAAATATCATTTGATAACGTTTTCCTACTTCTACATTTAATACAAGTTAATTCACATTTAGCGCTATCCTCTTCAAATTATATTTTTTTCTAATGCTTTGAACTCAGTTTAAAACTTTATAAACATACTTTCTAAAGAAAAATGTATTTTTTCTATTTGCGATCTAATGCGCCTTTAAACAGATGAAACAAAATATGAATATGCAGTGCAAACCATAAACCAGCAACTAAAGCTTACAGAAGTGAATAATTATATCAAAATAATTTGAAATAGATACCTCAAGACCAACGTACATATGTAGGTCAAAAATTACAGACCATTTCTTGACACAATTTAGTTTCTGATAAAAAATGACGCATGCAACATTCAAGCTCTAGCACCCTAACACCGTCTCTATATGATTTGAATGTCCTGTATAAAAGTGCAGACATTTAATTAAAATCAAATAAATCAGAGAGGAGAAAATAAGTTTGAAGCCACATTGAAGAAGCAGTTCGATATCAAAAATTGATACTTTTAAACGTTTTAAATCTTCAAAAAAAATAAGACATTATTAATTGATCACTTATATCTGTTTGATTGATAATATCATAGCATAAATGATATCTCTATGGGTAAATCCATTTCAAGCACCAGTTTTGCTATTTTGAAATGTCAAATTTTATAGAAAGACGTGAGATCTTTCATCTAATAATGTTTCAAAAAATGCTTACGAGGATTAAAATAACTATATTCCTATATTAAAAACTTTATAACAGGAAAATGATGCCATTTTAAAATGGGCTTAAATAACGTCTTTTAGAGCACGAAACTTATCTGGTCCACCATGCAATATGAAATGTCCAGCATGGGTAAAACATAACGGAAACACCAAAATCATATGAAATAAAGTTTTATATAGAACATTTTCTTTGAATCTCAATATAAAGCAAAGAATAGGTGTGGCTTTCTGCTAAAATTCCTGACAAATATGCTTTACCCGATTACCACATGATGGCATGAATAAACATGAAAACATACGTTTCACACTTACGGACACAACTATCTTCGAATTGACCTGGTGTTTCCGTTGGTAGACGTTGACAGACATATCCAACCGGACACCAAGGGTTTCTATTTAAACAAGCTGCAAAAAGCAAAATCAAACACAATTATTTTGATTAGCTTTAAGTATTTCAACTTTGAATGATTAATGTAGACAAATACCACGAAGCTTTCGATAATTTAGTGTGAATAACTTGATATACAAATTACTGTTTTAACGAACTGCATGTACTCATATTGACATTATGTTATCATTCGCCACTGAACAGAAATATTTGCGTACGGAATTTGAAAAAGATGTTGTCTTACAAAAAATAGAAATGTAACATTCCGTAGATTTTTTTTATAATTGTTCGTTTTCAAAAGAAATGAAAAGTAAGCACAGTTTCATATCAGGATAAACTATGTAAGAGTTGACCTTTTACAGTCTAATTTTTGCATAGATGAAATATTTGAACTATGATCTTTGCAAATTAGTTGTTTACGATCAAAAGGGTATTGAACTACATGGTTCACTGTTTACATTGTTTACATTATTAATTGATTGACACGAATGCCCCTGTAACTTAAAAATAATTCAATCATTCTTAATGTTATAAGAGATCTGAATCTTCATGTTGACAGAAAAACTTGCATGATATTGTTGACAAAAAATAACGTTATCAGACAGCTTGTATAGCTTATCTACAAAGATAACTAAAAGGAAGTTTTTGTCTCATGAATAAAATGAAAATAAAATAAATCATTTTTTATTCCTTTTAATGTCAACAAATGACAATAAAATTATCGCTATAAGTTTATGTTTAAATTATGGTACGAGCGCTAAAGTATAAAAAACATGATTTTATTTTACAACAATCAAAATACGTATTACAGCACTTTCCCAATTCAAAGTTTTTATCTTATTTCCCTTCTTAAAATCAAATAGTTTAAGCCTTACACTACATTCTAATGGAAATCAAATAAAACACATTAAAACATAAAAACCCAAGAAACAACATTGTATGTTTTACAAGCAGTTAAAATAATAAATATGAATAAACAAACAGTTAATATTTATAAACTTTTTGTACATATGTGCTAATGTACTTTTACATTTTGTGAATTTTGATGAAAACTTAACAGGCAAGTAAACATAATCTACAAGCAAATCTTGGTTAGTTTTAAGCAACATTTCAAGATTACAAATGTGTCCTGAACAAACATATGTGTGCTCTGTGATAGGTTAACAATATTACAAAGGCTGACATATTTGAATTGCGCATGCGTAAGAAAAGTAACAGTATTGTCCACTTGGGCAACTTTCTGTTGCCTCGCAACCTTTACAGTTTGTTTCAATTCTTGCGACGTTTGAACCTGTGAATAAAACCATAATACAAGGTGATAGATTTTTGCAGTATAGAGCTGTGTGAAAATAGATTTTGCAGTATAGAGCTGTGTGAAAAGTGCATAAATATATTAAGATAACTAAAATAAAAAGCATTGCAGATTATTTCATGTGCAGTCTGTAAAAAGTTTACAGTTAAATTCAAGCATACAATAAAATTCTTTAAAAGGGAAAAAGAACAAGTTAATGGAGAGTCAGTCAGACCTCGAATTTAGAAATGTTTGATTGGGGGGCGGGGGGGGGGGGGGGGGGGGGGTGTCGGGGGAATAAAGATGGAAATATAAAATAAATACAGAAAAGAAATTGGCATGTTTTATTCATCAACTTTATAATCTGACAAAATGTACACAAGCAAAATAAATCAAATAAAAACATAAAATTCGGAATCCAAGAAAACAAGGAAAATAACATTGTGTGATGTATTAATTCTAGTATTAATAGATGTTAAATGAACTCTTTGTTTGATCTATTTCGATCTTACCTTATTTTCTTACATATGCGTTATTTATGTATCTTTAATGCATAAGTACTTTTTCATCTCTTAAAGTTAATTACCAGAGCTTGGTATGTTTTTAAACGTACTTGTGTAATATGAAAAATGAAACTTTAAGGCACACACGTATATTAATTGATATCTGTTGCATTTTTTTGTTGATGTTATATTAATAGCATGTAGCTATTTAGTTTGTACTCAATGAATATAGGATGCCAACAGAAATGGAAGACTGTTCATTATGCACAGAAACTACAATCGTTATTTAATAGGTTCATTAGATAGCACTCAACTATATAGCGAGAGTCTAAAATTTAAATTTGCTGAACAAAAGAGTCCAGTGAAAAGCTTTAAAATATTATTAAACATTTTTGATACTACTGAACATGGAATTGATATAACGTGTTATATGTTACATTGTGTTGTTTCCTTTTTCTGATATTTAAACATGTCATGGTAATTTAGACAATAAATCATCGTTATGGACTGATAAACACTTGAGAAAATGTAATAGCTTAGATATATTTTACGCGCATATAATAACGTCCTAACAGAAATATAATTTTCTCAAATATTTGAAAGTTATATTTAAGGTATATTCACATACTATGTTCTTCTATAACATGAATATGAACACAAGTAATGATCGTTCAGAGATATTTTACCTAATATCTATACTGTTGATATGTCTTTACTGTCGAATAATAATAACAACAGGAGAAAGTCTTTCTATAAATATATTAAAGATTAACTAAAATCCTTTTCCCTATTAAAATGACCTCTGTTTTATATTGATACAACACAGTATAGGTCATGTATCGACTTTCCAGCTTTTATGGTGGAGGAAGACCTCAGTTACCAATCTGTGCATTATTTACGGCTCGATCTCTTGTTTATAAAAATGGGTAATAATGACTAAGTATTATCAAATCATTCAAGTCATCTAACGACATGCATTACGACATCTCGAGATTTGCCAAGAGCATACACGTTTCGTTTACAAATGCAATTGTAAGTTCTTTTTTCCTCCTTTTAAGTTAGAGTTCATTATCTAGCAACACGAATACCTATCCATTATTTACAAAGCCGCATAAAATAAACACGGAAATACATGGTTGCTAAACGTTGATGAATGAATTGTGGTTTCTTTGGTCTACATGATTTATTTTTTTAACAAATCATACACGATTCAAAACATACTAAAATAGACTATGGTCACTATCATGTTAAGTATGGAATGTGATATTACTTATATTTATCTTTTTAAATATTATCAAACATTTAAATGATAACATTTAAATGTTTAGGAATTTAAGGTATACCGGTATAAGGTTTTGATATGTTAATGAATTAATTTTAATTATTTAAATATCTCGCTGTAGGTAAAGGTTCCCGAATAAATCTAATACCGGTATTTATGATATAGAATAAATGATGAAACACGTTAGATCAAGTATTGCAAACACTGAAAATAATTACTAAATTCAACATTTATAACTATATTTATTAATTCAACTCAATGACCGGTGTCAAAGAGGTTAATCTATTTTAGTTTTTTAAATCAAAGCAAGTCTGAACAGTGTCAGTTATAAAGTTCACGAAGTCGAACACACATTACGTCAATATCACCACAAAAACGTATGAAGAGTTACTATATACAATTTATTGCACTTATTCTGTACGAACCATGTCGTGATAAAGGATGTCACAAAATATATCATTGTCAATTAACACTATGCATATTTTATTATCTCCGAGCCACCTGCCTACAAACCATGGTTTGTCCACAATAAGCACTTGTCGTACAAAATTGATCCTGTGAATTGCAATCCATGTGAGAGTTACAAGGTCGACACATTGCTTCTACGGCTGTAAATATGGGGAAAACATAATTATGAAACATAGTGAAAGAGGAAATAATAAGAAAACAATGTAGTTTAACCAAATGACAAAAAATAACTGTTCAACGTAATTATCATGTTAAATGTAAAATGTTTTAGATAATGTTTTTGCATTATATAGTAAATTATATAGAAATAGGAATTTAGAATAAATGTGCAATAAATGAAGCACTTTGTATTACTATGATTTACAAAACGTATGGTAAAAATGTTTTTGGCAGAATTTGGTATATAATTCTTTGTAAGAAATAAAAACAATGAAAAATAAAATATAGCTTGTAATACAATGTATATTTAATATAGAAAATGATGAATTATTATTTTATTGTTAAGTGCTACATGTGGCGATATTTAAAAGATTAATTTTACTACTTTATTATTGGTCATTTAAAAATGAGATCATGCATCAACTAAAACTATGGGGGAATTATTGCTGTTTTCAACAGGAAATAGAATCATGCAATTTAAATTTTATTACGGAAAGGATTATACACAAGCATACTGGAGCAAACAAGAGTAATTGTTGTGATGAAGATGTTTTGAAAAGGTTGATTTAGACACGATTCTAACATGCTTATTACGGTAAATTTCCTATGTATGGTAAGTTAAGTGTGACTTCATGCAATAAAACACCAGTAAATATTTAAAGGATATAAAGATTGCGGGCCATTTTGAACGGTAAAGAAAGATACATTCATTGATGAACAAAACAACGATGTTTTGTCATTGTGGCTTACCAGAATAAGTGGACTTTGTTCTGAAATTTATACCAATTGTTATGAAACGCCATTGCAAATGCTTGTATAAGTATTATTATAATTATTATACGAAAGTGGGCATAAATGAACGCGTTAACAATTAAACTGAATTTTAGCAAAAAATAGACCATAAAACACACATTTTCCCAATTGTTATTTTATACGTAAATCAGTATGTAGTGGCGATTGTCATTAATGATGATTTATACCATTATTTTTGTATGCTGTTACCTACAAGAATAAACTTTTTGACCTGTTGACCTTACATACAATTTCATGTGAAACATTATTATTTATGAAGATAAAAGTACAAACGAGACCAAACTACCGTCAGTACGTCTATATTACTTATAACATTATAGTTCAGCACTTTTTCCAGACAATAGTTATGACTGAAGTACTTTTAAACTTGTATTACAATGATAAATCATTTTGTAATTATGTTTAGCTTATGTATATTTCTATTATTTATTGATGATTCCTTAAATTTATTCTTCTGCTGATGTGTAACACGAAATGACAAAAGCATTAGTATTTTCTTATATGAAGGGAAATCTAATTATGTTTCCATTCTGCATTTAAATATATGTAAGTATTGTTTACAGAGGCGCTTCTACGCTTAAAATTGACAGCTTAACATCATTGAACAAGGTGAACTTGTTAAAATTGAAAACAAAGATAATGATAGCAAAAAGGATGAAAAAGAAATATATAGTAACTACATAAATGTCTTAATGATGAAACTTAAAATATGATTGATAATGTTCCTAAGGTTTGTAATAAAGTGACATAATGAAGACCGTTAGAGATACTGGTTCAATGAATTTTGTTGGCGGGACTCTTTTTACTCCGAGTTGTAATTCATCCTAACTGCAGCGTGTTTTTAACATTTCTTTTATCTGATTGTATATACGAGTATGTCTTACAAATTTTCTTTTTTATGTTTTACTTCTGAAACAAATAAAAGATTTAAAATTAAAAAGAAATCTAAAACATGAATATTTGAATACGCAAGATGTTAACAGTATGTTAAGTGCATATTATTTTGTATGTTTGGAACGTAAACGTGAAAAGTGTCCATTGTTTTGATAAATTGTTCATCTTATCTAACCCTTTTCGAACTTTTAAATGTAAAAAGACAGATATTGCAAAAAAATGTTAAATTTACATATTTGTTAAAAACTTACCTGAAATATTGCTAAATTCGGCGTCTTGTTGACGTGAATTAAGGTCCTGAACTGCTAAATTAGGTTTTCGACATCTAAGAGAACATCCACTTGGACAGCATTTTTGTTCAAGTGGACACTTCTCATCAGAATAGCAGCTATTCATGCACGTGCTCCTATCGCGTGTCATTGAATCACGTGGACAAAATCCGTCCTTCGTAATGTTAACTCTAAACCCTGCACCATTAATCTGCGGATAAAACACATAGTGTAACCCAGCAGAATCTTCTTTAATGGAAGAAACTTTACTTTGTTCAACAGAATGTTCTCCCACAGAAGCTGTCTTTACACCGTCTAATTTTACTAACATTGGAGCATTATTTATATTTGATTGTGGTTCTGTAGAACCCACACGTGTACCCAAAGGAATTTGATTAGCTGAACCGGCACGGTTCAGTAAACCTTGTTCAGGTAAAGTCAATATTGGAGGGGTATTAACAAATGTTTCAAAATTAGTTTGTTGCGAATCTTGTCCTACAAAACCATCAGGTATGTCTTGTACGTTTTCTTGGACAGGGGGTCTTGGGTCAGTGTGTGGAACAAAGTCAGTGTGAAACTGCTCACCTTGAAATCTACTGTTTCTTTGAGGAAAATTGTTGTCACTTCCATGCGATATATGACTTTTGTCACCGTCTACATGTGGTTGTGGATCAAACTGGCCAGCAGTTTGATCGGGAACACTCGACATTGAACCAAACCCTCCGGTGGATTGTCTAGACCTGTCAAATTGTGAATGACTACCCTCATGACTAACGTGTGAAAAATCATTACTTATTTGGTTATTCATATCTCTGTTGTGAGGAACAGATGGAGTTGGAGCAATACTTAGATCAACCACTTGTGGATTAAATCCTACTGATGGAATTTCTATTCCAGCAGCGCCAAACTGGTTAGAATTCGGATCGAATGTGTCGGTCCTTGGCTGCAACCCAAAACGACCTTGGCGTGTACCAAATGTACCTGGTCGTTCAACGAAATTACGAGGTAATTGGCCTAACTGACCGATCCGAATAGGGGTTTGATCGACTGCATCAGTTATTTGCTGAAAAGAACCTGCACGATTATCAGATAGACCGGGTCTTGGGAAACTACCACCACCACGGCTAAAGTCATGCCAAGCTATGTTAGTGTTATCTCTAATACCAGATGCAGAGGAAGAAATATTTTGCCCACCGTCAACTTGGGGATTGAATCCCATTGGCCCTCCAGGGCCAAACTGACCTGCACTTGGACCAAACTGACCCGGGGGTGGCCCACCAAACTGACCGGGATTTGGACCGAATTGACCAGCGTTTGGACCAAACTGACCAGCGTTTGGTCCAAATTGACCAGCATTTGGACCAAACTGTCCACCGGAAGGTCCAAGGAATTGACCAGGAGCTTGACCTGCAAACTGGCCTGCAGTTGGATCAAGAAAAGCTGGTCCAGACATCCCTGTTGGTACCTGTGGTCGTCCGAATTGTCCATTTACTTGACCAGGGGGTCCAAATCCAAAGTTGCGTTGTTGTCCACCTAAACCTAGTGCAAATCTTTGTTCAAAACCCGGTTCCCTTGGATCAGTACTACCAAGAAAATTCATGCCTGGGATAGTCCCTCCAGCTCCTTGTGGAAAAGGTGGAATTGGGTCTCCTGGTCGTGGTGCCTGTGGAAAGCCCGGGGTTTGCTGTTGGATACCAACACCAACTTGATTATTTATACCAGATCCTGGACCACTGGGACCACCATTTATTGCTTGGTGCAGTAGAATTGCCTCCTGCATTGCTGTTAATATATAAAAAGCCTATACAAATCAATTCTCAACCTTATTTTCATAAATGTAATTGGAAATTTTTTAATATCTTAAAAATTTCGATTTAATTTTTAACGTAAGAGTTCCTGTAGATGTTTTAAATATCCTAATATAAGATCAGTTAATTGTATCTGTATTTCTTAACGATTGATTGAATGTATAAAATATAAAATATCGAATGTATGGATGTTGCTATTATTTTAAACATGACGTCAATAAGAGCTGGCACTTACATATACAACCAGGCGCTGAAGGTTGTGTCCCATGTCTAACCATTGCACATGTGTAGCCGATGTCACATGGTGTCTGAAAAAGTTCAGTCACAAAATACTTTGATCTCATAAAAGCAAAATTATTTCAAAATAGACACAATTTGAACTGTCAACTTTGTAGCTTTCAAGGTGAATCGTTCGTGTTACTCTAGTTAAAGCAGTGTACGGTCCCTGTGTAAACGATCGGTGTGCGTTTAGCTATCATGATTTAGTATATTTGTTATTGTTTAATTTTCAAACTGAGAGGAATAATACAAGTCAAGAGTTAAAATTATTGGCCATATTACATTTTTCTAGGTCACATTGAACAGAACACCTCTCCAGAATTCGATAAAAATGTGTATTTCAAAATTCTCATCGTCATACAAGAAGTATTGGAAATACTAAATATATCTAAACAAGACGCTGAAGAATATTAAAATTGACAAACATTATTGATTGTTATAGAATAACTGAATTTTTCTAATGCACTTGATGCATTTTGGGGAACAAATACTGTACTTTTCGCTGGCAATGTTTCTGTTATCACTATCTAAGGTAATGCAAAGTATTAAATAGAATTCTACCAAACTGTCTTTATTATGTCTGCATGTCTTACTGTACAACATGTTACTGTAGTATTCCCTTTAAAGTTTTAATGAGAAATTTGGGTCGTTTTAATCAATCAGTCTTGTATAGTTAGTTATGTTACAGCCGCTATGCGAAGGTTATATTGCAAATAACGTTTATATGCGGTCATATAACCTGTCAAGAATCTTTATAACGAATTTATAATTAAGCAAACTTTGATTTTTAGAGAGAGAAAAAGAGATTTCTTCAAAAATTGACAACAGCCGTGTATATTATTAGTTATAAAGATCGTTGACAGGTTATATGGCCCTTTATAAACAGCTTTCTATGGTTATATTGCAAACAGCCGTTTATGTTCGGCCATATAACCTGTCAACGATCTTTATAACGAATTAATAATACAGCAAGCGTCATTTTTAGAGAAAAAAGATTTCTTCATGAATCGACAACAGCCGTGTATATTAAACACTATATAAACGTCACGGTTATTCAATGAAACATGCAGTATTATAATTATTTAAGAGTAAATATAGATACATCGGTTACTTACCGGGCATGTTATACGCTGTGTGTACAATATATTTGGGAATATGCATAATATCTGAAATAAACAGAGGATAGTATTTTTTATTTATCATATGATATTAAGGATATATGACAGTTCTCTTTCCCAATCGGATAAATAAATTCTGCAAAAATAGTATGGAAAGTCCGAAAACATATTGAAAAGAAATTAAAGACACTCTTTCTCGAATTTTAACTTGAATCATTACAAATAATATATATATAGAATGTATATTAAAATATTTCAAGTGACATTTTAACCAGATATTTTATTCCTTTTTATTAAACCAACTGCCAAAATCAAATGATAAAAATTCAATTATTCAATCCACTTCTGCAATTGATCCCTTAATTTCAGTAGTGTAAGAAAAACTTATCGCCATGCATCAAGGCTGAAATGTAAATGCTTTGGTTTTTCTTTTCAATAAAAAACCGCAGATGTAAATTACACTGAATAAAATGAAGTAAACCTTATCAATACTTCAAATACCTTAACTTTACTCAATCTTTAAAATACACGTGATAATAAAGTTACAACAAAATCAAACATAAAATAATTTACCTACCAAAGAGAATATGTTAATGATATAATTTTGTGAATCCATGTTGATGTTGGTATGCACTGATTGTAAATATTCTCACATAAAATAAACATAGATATACTGTGTAAAGATTACAATGCAATATTCAATTAACGACCTTTTTTACGTCAAAGATATAACCTGTCAATCATTTCTGACATGACATATATGAGGGTTGGTTCAAAATTTGTCATAGGTCACGGTTTACTGAACTTGTCATCAGACATACTGTTTAGAGAAATGAACGATTTTGTTCGTTATGTAATCAGAAACAGATTGAATCTGAATATCATTTTTTATTGATTTGTCCGAAATCATATAATATAAGAAAGGAATTGCTTTAAAAATATTAAACATCTTGGCCTTAATTTAATTAATGTGTTACACTAATAAATAAATATAGTAAAACTATTCAAGTAATAATAGCGACATATATTAAAGATTCTTTTAAAGTAAGAACCCTTTCTATATTGAAAAAATAATTTTGCACAGGCAAACAATGTTTCATATCATTACAGTCAAATTGATGATATATGTTAATTTATTCATTTTGTATAGCAAAGTTTATGTGTAATGTGTTTGTTAAACCGTTTTAATTATTATAATATATAGAGTCCTCGGCTATGTTCTGTAAATATTAACTTGTAAATGGCCAAAGGCATATTCATGCCGATTGCTGAATAAGGATTGATTGATGTTGTTGTACACATTTAATATAAATATAACATTGTTATTGTCATGAATTGTTTACATTACATGTAAAAAAATACTCTCCCTCTTTTGACATCATCAAATTGCATAGTTATTTGTGGGTATTAAATATCTTGTTTTTAGTATCGATTACTTTTTTACACTTATATATTTTTGGGGTTATTGTATTAATCTGGAAACATTTCATAATAAGAGGTTTAGCGGGAAATCATTTTTTGTCTTTTTTGCTAAATCAAAGGAATTATAATTTGTTTTGTCAGTAGTTAATGCAGGTATATACATTTAGTCGATATAAACATGCCATTCCGGCGACTCTTTTGCATTTTTTGTTATATATTTTAATGGATACTCCAAGATAAAAATATTTCTTAAATTCAGAAGGGCCAGAAAAGCATTTAAGTGTATAAAGCTATATATCTGCAGCAAAAAAATATTCTTTGAATTTTAAAAAAGAATGCTTCCAAAATGGTTGTATGAGAGAAATATGGTAGGATATGGTATTAAAAGCAAATTGTGCATGCACAAAAGCATTGCTTGATGGTTAAAACCATACTTAAAATAGCAAAATAATATTTTGGTCCCGAACATTTTATTTTGTTTATGTATAATATCCATGTGTGTTTGATAACAGAAGCAATATATAATGCTACAATTTTTCAAGAATCAAAAACAATACAATTTTACTGCTGATAAATTATATAAAAATATTTCGTACGATATAGCTTTATACCCTTTAAGCTTGCATAAATGCAAAAGATCGATACTCGGGGCCTTTGTTAAACAAAAGATAGAAGATATTCGAGTGTTTTCTATAAAAACAGGATTCTTTTTCATTGACTGGTATGAATATAAGTATTAATGAGTGGCGGTAGCAATTTTCATACCGTAAGATAAAAATAAATCCTGTTAAAAAAGCGACTTTCCAAAGATTTTCTGTTTATTATAATATATATTTAACTTCCCGTTAATTTTTTTATAAAGAAAGTAGTCCGACAAGACACCTTTGAAAATACGGAAAATATATTTTACTGCTGCAGTGAAAAATATTTGTTTACATTGAAAATACGGGAAAAAGCATGAAAATGCGCATTATTTATTTCATCAAGTATATGATAAATAACATCACAATACCTCTGTTTTTTTTAACAACCCTCAGTGAAGAAATAGCTGTATAATCGTAGGTGATCCTTTACTGGCTAAAGCGTGTATGTTATAATTATCGCTTTCTACGTATATGCTGTAAACGTTTACTTATGAATTGTCAAAAATATACGTACTGTAATTACAATGATACCTTTTTAACACCCGTGTGTCTCAAAATAACGTAATAGTCGTAGAAGATCACTACTGGCTAATACATGTGCGTTTTTATTATCGCTTTTGGCACATGAATTGACAAATAAAAACAAAACGATATCTTAATTGAATGTGTCATTAAAAGACAAGTGACATATATAACTAACAACTATTGCATAATCAAAAGTTATATTTATAATATAATGGCTGACTAAATTGAAATAAATTTTCAAAAAAAAAATAAGTAAAAATTCGGTTGTTTTTAAGTTGTTTGTTTATTATCAATTAAAGTATTAAAGTTACTATTAATAAATTCGATATCAATCATCAAGCATAATGATATCAATTTTGTAAAAAACATTATAACGGTCTAAGAAATTTTAGTGATTTTTAACCATGAATTCAAAAGTTGTTTTCGTGACGGTTTTAAATACCTTGTTTATCGACCAAGCTCATTAATCATAATATGTATATATAAAATATTTGTTCAGCCTACACGCTCTTCTAAATGTAACCTTATTCAATCACGTGATGTTGAAGAGTAGACATTAAAGTGGTTCTGATCAGCATGTGAATACTAATTGTGTTCAAATAATTTATAAATAACTTGTTTTAACAATATAATTGACAGTTGTTGCTTTGTGGCTTACGTACTTAATTGATTACATGTATATCATCTTCATGTATCATATCATTTAGATATAATATAATGAATTTTGATATTGTGTTTTAGTTTTCCATTATATCAAATGATAATACAATAATACTATGATTAAAAAGTAATGAATGTGATACAGCCACTTGCACTATCTCTTACGTGCTTTACAACAAAACCCCCACTATATTATTATTCATTCAGAAACATCTTATACACTTCTTTTTTCAATTCGGTTCTAATAAAAGTATATCTAAATTAGTTATTACTGAAAGCTCATTACCTTTTTATATTGTATCATCTTAATTAAGTCAAAGTGACAAAAAGAACAAACAATTAAGAAAATATATTAAGAAAAGCAATATAAAGATTATGCAACATTTATAAGCATTTTTAAAACGACGTGTACTGATGTAAAAGTATCGCTTTAGAGATTTAATCACTCTGGAAATACCAGCAGTCTGTCCCAGATACCTTACATTTGTCTGTTTAATTGTAAAAATGTTAAGAATGATAATGACCTTGATATAAGAGAGGTTTAAGAATGACTCCATCATCAAAAAGAAAGGATAAAAAATCCATACAAGTATAAATATCTAAATATTCAATCATATAAATATTTAAAAAAAAAGATGAATGTCTTACTAAATCATAAATATTTTCATGTTATCAAGACAAGATATCTCATTGAAAACATGACCACTCGAAACATTGAAATCATGTCTCAAAAATGATCATCATTCATCAATTGATTCAGAAAATGATTTTAGTAAAACGAATTAAACCATTGAACAACAGCTCTAATTTGCCAGAGTTTACATTTTTACCTTGCTCTTGCTGGGAACAAATTGCGAAAAATTGCCATTTTTAAAATGCTTATTGGAGCATTGGTCTCTTTTAATGAAATAAATAGTGGTAAGATGTTCATTCAGACTAAACCTAAGTTGGATAGAATTACACTGACAGTTGGCAGCGTTTGAAACAAACAAGCTTTGGATATGCTTTGACTTGTACTTCTATAATTTGAAGTTAGAGTGATGTTATTTTTATTTCTAAGAGTCATAAAGAGATAATAATAGTGCGCTGTATCAAAATATAAATGATAAATGTTTGTTTTATCGTCCTGGCCATGATAGAGCTATTTCGCAACACGAGGAAGTATGATAGCTGTTTAATTGCACGTCAATGACTACTAACTACTGTCATATTTATGGCAAGTAGCGCCCAGTATATACACCACACTTTGTGACGTAAAATACGTACGAGGATGTAAATAAATAGCCTTAGATGATTCGCTCGTTCATGATACAGGGAAAACTTGTGCCAAAAATAAAACCAACGCCTAACTATAATGGCCTTTGTAGTATACAGTTATTGCATGATGATAAAATGAATGTCCAAGTCTATTGACCATGCTTAAATCAATTTTCTAATTATTAATTGAAGATGAAGGTCAATGTGAATATCAAATTAGCGAGGTCCTTCGACTTGACTATTTACCGAAACGTTGCACTGACCATGTTCATGAATTTTTTTATAAAGTAATGCTGAAATCCTCCTGTAACAAAATCTGAACATTTGATTATATCTTTTGACCATGACATTGCACAAATAGATCTTGATTAAGCGTGTCACGGTCAGTCTTATAATAATGAAAGTTATTGTTAAAGTCCTTTATAAAATGATGATGTATACACACGTACTGAAGTGTTGATATGTTTATAAGTTTATGTCAATTTTTACAGACATAGCGCCATACTACGTTAGTAACAAAATTAAATATGGGTAAACAAATGGCATAGCAGATCAGTAAGAATCCAAAGTGAAAATTGGATTATGAATATACTTTTCATTTCATAAAGTACTTAATATATACTCGTATTGTCCTTATTTGAGAATATTTTTGAAAATTTGTTTGCACATATGTTACATTTCATTTCAAGCACCAACTCATTTCTGATTAGCTTTTGAAAGTGAACTCAAACATCAGCACAAATTGCTTCAATCAAAATAATTAGTAATTTAACAAATTCAAAAGTAAAACACGAGAATATGTTTGTTTATTCAATAATTTAATTGGAATTCATTACAGATATTTATAAATAGATTTAAATAAACCCACACGACTTTTTTAAAACTGCATGAAAGTTATTGTCAGAGAGGTTGACATGTTCGCCTGGCACATGTTGCAGAGTAGTAACAGTAATTGCCGTCCGTGCAATCTGAATTGCTGTCACATACTGTACAGGTGGCACTTTTATCTGGAAAGAGTTTATATTTAACAACGGATTATTAGAAAACAGAAAATAATAATATTTCTGAGATAAAATTTCTAGTGTTTCCTTGCAGTCAAATTTTACTTATAATTTGCAGTGAGTATGAAAAGGAAAATAGTCGCAGCAAAATGTATATGAAAATATGAATGTTTTACCTTGCGCTGCGTTTGAATTTATGGCCGGTGGCGTTGTTCGTTCACTATTGACAGTCGGTTGGTTCCCTTGTTTATCGTCTGTTAGTTTTATTTTAGAATCTCGCCGTCCAAATGACGTAATATTTCTACTGTTTTGTGATAATGGCACCTGTCTATTTCTACCAATTTTATGCAGAAGAGTGTGGGCTATTGCTGAGAAATAAACATATGAAAAGAAATTATACGAAACACAAAAATGAAAGTTATTAACTGGTTTACGCCGATAATTTCTGATCGCTAGAATTTTCGTATCTGAACATTTCAACCATTTCAACCAACGCTGAGTCTGTTTAGAACATATATATGGTCATGGTATAACAGGATAAAAGATTACAGAATAATTACAGTTTAATTAAGAAGTAGGCCGATAAATTCAAAGGTATTTCATTGGAATTAATTTTAACATACAAAGTGCTTCTAGTTACTATTATCAAATGAGATGTTTTAATTATACTTTTTTGACTAGAACACAACAGTTTTTTCAAGTTATTTACTATCATTTCAACTAGTACCTTGTCCAATTCGGCTATTGTGTAGATCTTGTTCCGATCTGTGTCTTGTTATAACATCAGTTTGTTGTTCATGGTTCAATACTGTAGTTGGCTGCGAACCTGATAAGTCGAGTGGTTGAGGTACTATAACATGATTGTTAGCCGATAATTGCCTATCCGAAAGCATTTCGTTTGGATAAACAAATCCTAGATTATTTCGTCTCGTTATTACAAATGTGTTTTCATGTGATGCTAGGTTTTCTGCATTGGCTATATCTAAAACAATATAATGTTGTTTTTCATCTTTTTCAAATTGTTTTAAGCTATATCATTTTCAAGATTTTCAAAAAAATTATGTAATCTATCGACTACCTAACATAATTTGTGATTCTTGCCAGAGTTTTAACAAAGCACGTATCTGAACATTATAAATAATTAATATTAATTCTTGAAAGAGCTGAAACATGAGATATATCTGTTTTCTATAACTAATTGATATTAATTCTTGTAAGAGTTGTAACAAAGAAAGTATCTGATATTTATTTACTAATGAATATTGCGCGGTAAAAGGGAGCAAAGCATGACGTTTGATTATTTTACTATGGTTTTCACCATTTATCACTTTTTGTTCTTAAAGTGTAAAAAGCTATATCCTTGCTGCTTGCATTTTATTAAAGTTTTGATATATTTGATATTAAGTGTATGAAACTATAAATATGCTGCTTGTAATTACAAAATTTTGTTAGAAATTTAAGAAAGAATAATTCCAAAATTCCTACATTCAAGAAATTTGTTGGTATATATCCTTTTGAGAGAATCACGCACGCACAAAATCATTTTTCAACAGTTAAAAAACCTATTCAAAATAGCAGAATTATATTTTGTTTCGGATCTTTTTTGCATAATTTTATCGTTTTTAAATTCTATAAAACTATTTCATCTGAAATAGTGTTATACATTTTTAAGAAATACTCAAACATATTTATTTTATATAGATATTTTGAAATCATTCTTTCTTAAATTTCTAACAAAATTTTGCCCGTGTGCCCTGTCCTGTTTGGTATTCTACTGGGCTCCTTGCCGCAGGTCCTGAGTTGGGGGGGGGGGGACTTGTGTTCATTGAACGCCGCCCTACTTTGTTAATCATGTGTTTTGATATTTGTAAACTACAGGCAGTAGATTTATAGTTTTATACACTTAAAGAACTACAAACAGATGGCTTTCCATGTTGTTTACAATGCAATCAGATTTCCAACAATTGTTGTTTTTGTATCGCCTAATTGGTACTTACGATCACACCTTTGTTCTATTCCCCTAACAATGCATGCAAGATACCCTCCACATCTTCTCTGTAAAAGAAATATAAATATGTTACCAATTACTTTTCTTACCGTATCAATTAAATAAAAAATTATAAACATTTTTTTCTTATACATATACTACCATTTTTTTAAATGTGTCGATTGTATCAAAAACAATTCTGATATGTCTTATTTAAGGTAATGTAAAGACGGGAATCAAAATTATTGTTTTCAAAACAATTAGCTTAATATATATGCAATTATTACAAAAAGTAAAAGCAATCAATTATCTAACCGCATACATGTATGTTTATTTCTATTTATGAATATTTTATTGCTGGACATGTAAACCAACAACAAAAAAGCCATAAAAACAAAGAACGTATTCATCAAACCAAATATAGAAACAAAACACAAAGCTTAAAAACGCTTAATCATTTATTGTTAAGTTAACATTGTTGTTGCCTACACAATAAGTCAAGTCTAAAAGACCATAATAGTCTATCAAATATAAAACAAAGACACTTCAATTGAAAAAAACAAATTAATCATATTGTGTAACTTTATCAAATATAAGATGTTAAAAGACAATGCCGCATAACAGGTCTACAACTCTGTTTGGCATAAGCAAAAAGATATCTTTTAACATGTTTCCTCTCTCTTATTAGATAATTGTTCACTTTCACAAATAAAAGGCAGTTACTTGTAACACGTATATTTATGTATGGGTATTGATGTTATAAGTAACATGTTTTGTTTCGTGGATGTTGCTCTCCCATGTAAATTTATTGACATAATTTTAATTTGATTTTAAAAGGACATTTTTATGTAAACAAATGCTGATTTGTATAACGTCTTACTTAGCCTACACCTTTGCAGATATTGTTTAGTTTTAAATCAGACTCACGTTACATATATTCCGGTGTAGTTGAAACGTTCCAACCCGGTGAGAAAGGGACAAGACCACCATTTCTTGAAAAATGATCTGAAGAAAGAAAAATTTAATAAATGAATAAATAAATAAAATATGCATGCAATCGATAACAAATGCATGCAATTTAAAAGTAGATTAAAAGCAAATGAAATTGGACTTTATGTATGCCATTATCAATGAAATCATTGCCTGTTGCACAGAAAAATATGCATTTGTCTGTAAGCTTATTGAAAGAACCTATTGAAGAAATAAATGATTTGATGAAATGCAGATCGACGTGCAACAGTTTCGGTCCGATATCACAGTGAACAGGGATCACATACCTCTGCCTCTGTTATTCAATTTTTTTGTTATGTTTGGAAATTAACACACACTGACTAAGGAGCAAGATTCGTGTGGATTACTTTATTCAATAGTTGTCAAACATATATTATCAGTTCTTGATAAAGATCTGCTTCTGTGTAGGAACAATAAACAGAGGAGATCATTGACCTACACCATACTATTTCTGATGTCTCAAGTAACATAAACAACAACATCATGTGTTTATATCTTATAATTGACAAGTATATCAATTATATTTTATCATACTTTTTCTATAACTAAAATAAGTAAAATTACCTACCAGTGTTATCACAATATGGCGGTAGAAACAAAAGTTGTTCATAACTATATCCAAATGGAAAAAGATATTATCAATTTCAAACGTTGCAAATATTATTGCAGAATTGCAAATAAACAAGTCTTATAAACCATCACTTGATCAATCATATCTAAACAAAGACATATGTCTCACACTAAAACCCAGAGATTTGTTCACCTTGTACATTTATTGTTTTCCCTATTTTTAACTGAAAGCGGATAAGTAACAATCAAAACAATCCTTTATCATTGATGATTAATTAGCATTTAAAATGACCACAAATATTAAGTAGTTTCATTGAAACAATGAAATTAAAGTTGCACACATTATTCAGAATTTTATTGCTGAAATATGCTTGTCATTTTACAATGATATATGCATTGTATCATATTAAATCCTGTATTTACGTGATAGGCTAACGAAACACAAGCGATAACTCTTAATGGTGCAACAAATCTGCAAATTACTACACAGTTCCGATATTACATTAATAAGTACTTTTATTTGTTTCACATGTAGTTTCGTTATTTTGGGGGATTTTAATATTATTACTAATACTCACCCAAGACATTGATGTCATATTATCATTATTGTCCGGATTTCAATGTTTCCTTTATAGGTGTCGCCGTCTTTATCACGTGTGCACAAAAAATCAAAGCACGGACTAGATTTTAATATTACTGACTTTGTTGTTATTGAATGGTCGAACATTCAGTCAAGATTAAAACTGTTGTGTACAATTTTATTGTAATGAACTATGCATACATCTATTTGTATAAATCTCAATATTGTAAAACAATGAACACAAGATTGCGAAATTTAAATTGAAATATATTTTTTAAAGTACGTCTGTCTTACAAAAATCATGAAGCAAGATAATATTCTGTAAAGCTGTCATTGATGCGTCATCCATATATTTGTTTCAAGTTTTATGGTTTATTGATTCTTAATATTAACAGAGTTCTTCAAAGGACGGAAAGTGCGTTACAGCTACATGCCTCTTCCCCTCGATACGTGCACGTCGTTGAGAAGGCACATAACATCGCGTTCGGCAGATGATTGAATACCGACTGCGACATGTAAGACACCAAGTTTGCATGATCTATACAGTTCGGCACAACATATTTTGTATGAAGTTAGCTACCGGTATCCTGATTAAAGCCGAGGGTGCGTGAGCCCCTAGAGCAGAGATAGTAACGGCTTGAAAGGCAGGTCCATAATCATAACAGCCTTTTTCAGCGCTTCCTCATTTTCAAACTGTCTCAGGTTACTGTACATTAAGAACTCCGTGAAAATAGAATGGAGGTTAATTATCAGCACGTTGTTCTTTAAAATTAACCCTTAAAGGACAAGACTGGTGATATCTCCGAGGTCTGTACCCGACCGAGAAAACTGTTTTTGTGTCTTAACGGGTAAATGGATTCACATTAAATATATAATACACTCATACAAACATGTTAACATAATTTCTCCGTCCGGGTTCAGTAGGCGTAAGAGGCATTGAACCTTTTATGAACTCTCATTATCAGGTTTTAACAAGCTAGAGTATTATATTTGTGTGTTTCATTGTTCTCGACAAATCTCCCTTTCTAGAAAGCTTCAATGTGTGTTTGGGAACCAAATATACAATATTTGAAGAAAGGAAACAAATATCGTGGGAACAACAATTCGTTTTTATGACTCCGGTAACATTAACAATATAATGAACAAATTAAGAAAAGAAAAATTATTGTAATGTTTATGTCAATAATATTTGAACAAAACACTGGAATTTATTTGTTAATAATGATTTATTACGAACAAAATAATTAAAATAAGCAAGATGTAGATAAACATAATTTGATATTCACAAACATGAGATCGCCCTGAATTAATTCAATGGCTGACATATTTGTCTGGCGCAGGTAGGTGAATAAAAACAATATTGCATTTCTGGGCATCTTTGATCCGGAACGCAGGGTGTACATGTTGCATTTGTATCTAAAAATAATAGTTGTGTAACAATTTGTATTATTAAATTAAGAAACCTCAAAATCACCTAACAAAGAAATAGGTAAATATATTAAATAGTAAAGCGATATGAGTTGGTGGTAAATAAGAAAAGACGTTTAGCAATAAAATAACAATTAAGTTATTTATATTAAAAAAGTTCTACAAGAAATATATCAAACAGTTAAGAATTTGTTGTACATACAAAATCTCTCCTTATTGGGGAATAACAGTATGTATGTCGGCGTAAGATCCATAAGATCCATTTAAAAGTATAATGTATTACTTACGTTCAGCTGATTTCTTCTTCTCAAGAGTTTGTGGAGGTATCGGTTTTTGACTAGTATGACCCTTTTCAAAATTTGAAGAGTCTGAAACATTTCTGTTTTCAATAGATATAATTTCCACATTCAGACCTTGACTTGATGATTGGTGGTGTGGAGAAGCACCGATGCGTCGGAAAACAACACCGCCGTCGGCGTTCCTTACAAGTGTTAAACCTTCAAATTTTGATCGTTTTCTTTCGTTACCTTTGTTATGTTCTGGTGAAGGAAGGTTCTTGAAAAGAGGAAAATCGTTTACATTTTTAGCAAAGGTAGCAGGGTTAAATAGCTGAGGTCTGTTATCAATAGATCCTAATTCGTTTTTGAAATCTTGCCTTATGGAATCAGCGAAGGTTGTAATGCTATTCAGTAAACCTTCTGGATTGGATATGATGGCGTCTTTTGCAGTAGCCGTTTCTACACCAATGTCTGGTAATGGTTTTATTAATGATCCGAAATCGACGATGTTCTTTTCATAAGCAGTATTTTGACTAACTAAGGTCAAATCGTTTAAAGGTCTGTTTAGAGCTGGAGCAGAAACTATGAAGGTGCCATCTAAAACGACTTTATGGGGATCGATTCCTAAAATAAACAGATTTATCTTTTAATTTCCACCAGTGATGTTAACATAGTCACCTTGTGACATTCGTGATATTTACAATTCTCCGATTATATATTATTATCGTGCCTTAAAACATTCAAATAAATCTTCTGATGTTTCTATCTCAGTCGGTGTATTATGGTAATGCTCTTGTCCGTCTGTTATATCGATGTCCGGTAAATTTCTTCCAATTTATCAAGGATAGGTTGCTTCACAAATTAATGTTTTATTTGATTTGTGGCAGTTTCTCTTTACTTTTATCGTAGAGAAAAGTTTGGATGAAACATGTTTCGGAAATTTTTCATGAATGTGTCTCTTTTGTAATTAAAAGATAATATGATAAATGTATATTAAATTTGTATTCGTGCTTAAGTTTTTTTTATTTATGATTATTATAATATTTGCAGGTAGAACTTAAACTTTAAAATATAGTAAACACAAAATGGACAGGTTTAGCTTTTATTATGAGATGTGTTATAAATTTCACATCCACTATTTCTACATAAAATGTTTATTATCCTGTCACTTGTATCAATTTCGGCCCGATAACAAGGTGCCGTATATTTTTACTGATCTACGGCACTTGATCATGTGGTATGCATGAATGAGCACCTCTTTGCCGGACTACTTTTCAAGATTTACAGGCCGTTCCAGTGGTATGAAAAAAACTGTCGTTAAATCTTCTGTGTGTAGAATAACGAATTTTGGAAACGTTGATAAAACTTTGTTTGTTTATTTTATTTCACTCTATAATTTTTCAAGCGAAATAAAAATTATTAAAAGTGAAATAAATGTAAAACTTAACTAGTTTGCGACATTAAAATAGCGTACTTGATTTGATTGTTTTGCACGTGCTGTTTGGCGCTACATTGTGACGTCACGTAAACAATACTTTAAACGTCTGTACAGAATCAACGACTGAATAAAAGATAGTCAATTTGGTGTTCGAATTCATTTTCTTAGACCATTTTCTTTCATTCTAGATAGTTTTCACAACAAAATTCGACAAAAAATTGCTTTTATTTATCACATTTTTCAACAAAATGGCGCCCTCAATGTGAAAATACACAGGGAGATAATAAGAACGGAGAGTGCATTGTTGTAGAATAATGCACGCTTCGGGCCTTCTTTCTTTATATAGAAACATTTCCGATAGTGTGATTAAAGGTAGTTTGCCTAATAAAATTCTTTAAAAAAAAAACGGTGACAGGATAAATAGAATAATAGATTGGTGCCGTGGATGGAGAAAGTTTATCTGGCTCTGCTCCACGGCACTAACCTATTATTCTCTATGTATAGATATTTTTTAAAGTAAATGTGTTAAACCAAACTACTTACGTTTACATGTTACATGAGCATTGCCGTCATTTCCCCTATACACAACACATGTTTTTCCTGACTGACAACGAGGCTGAAACATATCAATGGTGAATAAATTTACAGGTTATTTTAAACGATTCGACATTTAAAAATATGACAATGATATTTACAACATAACCTATATAATGGACTTGCTTTTTGACTTACTGACTTATCAAAATAAATCCAACTTCATGTAGAGAAATATATTCACAAGATTTGTGAATGCAATAAATAAAATTCAATACACCCTTATTGCAATATGGTGTCATATAAAGTGTTAGCTTTTAGGCCCCTTTTAGTTCTAATCATTTTACTAAGTACATGTCCCTCCCCTCTTTTCGCCGCCCTTTTGTACTCTATCGGTTTAGTTTGGTGCCTTCTAGGTGCCCTGCTGTTGTGGCTGGATTTTGTCGGGTGGCGTTTTGTGAACGTTGCATTTGCCTTGTTGATCTTTGTTCTCAGTTTTTAATATATTTTAGTATAAGTTACTCTGTGCTTCATCTTTTTATTACTTTTGACAAATATTGTTTTAATTTTGATGGATATTTCCTTCCCAATACGTTATAAACTCATCACAACACTTTGACATGCCAACAGTTTACCGTCATTTCGTACTTCATCTCAATGTTGGTATTCGTCATTCGGGTATTTTCATTCCATTGTGATAGAAAATTGTTTAAGTCAGTTCCTAAGGACTTGAGAAATGGTTTAACCAATTTTTTACTTTTTCTTATGAACCAAGTGCGAATATTTTGCCCAATGTCCTTTCCAATACTCCGATATACCTAACGCCCGTTGTGGCTGACTGTCACGGGTTGATACATTAGAGTTGCAGCCATCGTTTAACCCTGCGTAATCATAAGAGGCAACTGAAGTGTATGCACATTTTAGCTCCAGCAGCTGAGGTGGATATGGCCCATGACATTGTCTAAAGTTTGTAACCCCCCGAGTTAGTAAGCCAATTTAATTTTTCTGTTTCGGCCCAAAATGACCTAAATTGTGCTGGTGCGCCATAAAACCAAACCAAACATGTCTGATATTTTCAAGAAATTTTGAATATCCGTAATATTTTATACTATAAACATATTCTTAACATTTTGTTTATTTTATTTTAATTGTTTGCTTTAAAAGATTTGCTCTTCATTGTATGCATCATAATAAAGTGTAAGTGAAAAAAGAAACAATTCCCATCTTTGTAAGTAAACATTAGGAAAATATATTGGTACTTTAGTTTCAAGCATGATCCCTTAATTATTACATTAAAGCTACTAAATCATCGACGAGTTGTACAAAACTTTGGTATTTCCAACATTATAACTTTATTAATATGTTTATGAACACAACTTACCTGACATGAATTGCTTAGATGGAAACCTTTGGGTAAGACATGTGCATTACCAATCCAAACCATACCCAGGCATATGAGGAGCTACAAAACAAACATTAATTCGGTTACGACTTTTGAAATATTTATTGAAAGTAACTAAAAGAACGTCCATATACATGTAATTTATATTTTCATTTCTTGAAAACTGCTTGACTTTTCTAACTGAATATGCATCTAAACATGTCAATATCACGGTACCAATATCACGTGACTATTTGATATACGTGGGACAAAAACAGATATAAAAAGAAGGTTGAGGTGGTTTTGAGTAGTTCCTTTTTTAACATTTTATATGTTTTATTGAATAAAGTGCAGAACCCTTTCACACTAGTGAGTAACACAAACAAATGTTTTCTTAGTCAAAAATCAGTATATAGGTGAAATAGCTTGTTAGAATATTCAGAAATTCACGCGCTTTCACTTGACTGACATTGTATGTATGCGTAACTAAGAAGAAGAAGAAGAAGCGGGCACCATGATATTAAACATTTATTTAACCTCATTATAAATGGTCAAATGTGGTGGAGTGGTTAAGTCATCGGACTAGTAATCTAAGGATTGCTAGCCGCTTAGGTTCAAACCCTGTCAGCGGCAAGCCGTTGTTTCCTTGAGCAAGACAATTTACACTCATTGCATCGTACTAGTTTGTTCCAGGACCGGTTTTGAGAGTGTTTAAATTAGCTTACAGCTTCCAACACAATCGAACTAAAATAAATTAGTATTAACTTATTATCAAATGCGGCATCAATGATCCATCCATTTTTAACAAACGAATGAAAACTTTTGCCATATTATTTCTCCGATTAAAGTATTCCGCTTATCTAATTTAAACGTTTCATTTCAAAAATCAATTTGATGTAAACATTTCAATCAAACAGACCGTAAAATATTGCATAATATTACGAAAGAAAAAATAACTAAAGACTTTATGAATTAGAAAATCTGCAGTTACAAATAATAAATATTCAGAATTAAACACAACTAAATCATAATTAAGCCTAGACTAGTGTTTTTCATGTTTATGCGTGTAAGAAATGTTAATTTATACATCAGGATCAAACAATCCTTTACAAAACTTACGAATATGTAAAATGACAATCCCAAAATCATTTTGAATCACAATTCAAATGTATGTTGTACATACATCAACTGAACTTCCTTAAATTAATAAGATAGTCTTTAAATGCTTATAATTGACACATCAATGACCATGACGCTCATTAATTGCTGTGATGCTTGTGATATAGATACTGCTTTTATAAACAAATGTTGCTTTGTCCTTTTCCTTGGATGAATCACATGTTTATGATATGTTGAATTCATGACAAGCGTTTAAATCAGCTTCTTATTGCTAGGGCACATCAATCATTCTAACGACTTTGCTTCCGAGTTCATGATGAATTTAATACCACCTTCCTCCGTGTCTGTTGTATCTGTGCACGTAGACCTTGAAATGCAGACATTTTACACATATTGCTTGGTTTATAAAGAATTTATTTTAATTCGATTGTGTTGAAAGCTATAAGCTTATAGACAAACTTTCGAATCCGTTCGAAACCCAACCAATATAGAGCAGTGAGTGTATTTTTGTTTTGCTTACGAAAACAACGACCTGCCCCTGACGGGATTTGAACTCAAGCGGCTAACGATCGTGACATTACTAGTGCGACGCGCGTTAACTACTCGGTCATGTCGCTGCTTTTATATTGCTTCAGATATGTCACAAAGTACGAATTATCAGGCTCAACATTTCAATTTTCACTATACTATGTTCAAGATGACTAAAATTCAAGAACGGGCACGGCCAACAATATGATATTCAAAATGACAATCATCATTACATTTCGGTAACCTGTTCATGTGTAAACTATTTGCAACTGTTCAAGATTGTTAAAATTGAAGTTTAACTAGAGACTGCTCATTCCCTATTTCATTTGAAAATGTCTTTAACATTCTGTAGATAAAACAGGTCATTTAGAAATGAAATATTCAAAATATGGTCACTACAACTTTTAATTATAAAGTTAACTTTGTTCTATAATCATCTTTTTAAAATATTCGCATGAATTAAAAAGGAAATTAAAAAAACAAAACATAAAAAACAGACGGTACCCAAATTGTTCCCTGCTAAATAATATATATACGTATGATGTTTTGTATAAAATTTTGTTTGCTTACATATTAAACATCAATTATGTTTTTAAATTACAATGTATACTGTTTTGGTAGAATATCAAATATGCGGAAATTGTCGTCAAGTGTTTTTCTCCTTCAAAAATTATGCTTATTCAAAATAAACGGACATTTATCTGCTTTTTAACATGAAAATAACTTTAAAGGGGCAAACAAATAAAAAATAAGTGGCATTTTTTTGTAACAGATTAACCACTTTGTCATAAAATTACATACACGCATCCATTTTTATAAAACAACAGCACAAAAAAATTTAAGTTTGTTGTCACGCATTGTTATCTACATACTGACCATATTGAATCTGACCTTTTAGCTTAATTTCCTGATAAACATGCCTTTTTATAATTTTGTCATTTCAGTGAACTCTCCACATGCTTTCATTTTTATTTTGGTACAAACATTTTAAACAATGTCAAAAAAGACACGAACAAAATGATGTAAACGAGTGAAAAACTTTGAAACGACCGGGACTATTTGAAATGTACAAGCGCAATTTAAAAAGTGTAACTATACATAAGTCATTTAAGTATTTGCACAAGTTGTGCTTATACATTTAAACTCGTTAAAACCATATTTTTGTTAAATCATTACATGACATTTAAATCCAAGTTACGTTATGTTTCAGATAATCAATAGAAATATGAAAATATGATAAGAATATATTCACATTAATTCTAAATCATTTTCGTCATTTGAAATTCGAAAATTTGATTTGACCTAAACGAGTATTTATATGCATTTGATACATGTGTTCTTAATCAAATATCAAACAAACCTAATGTTTGTATTTATACAAGATAAACACTTAAAAATAATATTTCTGTTTGGTCAAGAATTATTTAACAATATGTAAACCAAACACATGTTGTTTCTTTTTAAATTAAATCTGTACATTTTATGTCAGTCTAGTTAATTTTAAACTACTGGTTATGAGCAATTTCATGCTTTGTTACTTGCTCGTGCCGGATTCGCAAAGGAGTGACCCTGATGTCTTCCTCCAGCAGTAAAGCAAGCTGAAACGTCGCAATATGACCTATACTGTGTCGGCGAGCCTTAATATCCGACATTTAAAATTTCCAATCACACCCGCGTCTTTTCAAAATAGTGTTTACTATGTTTATATGTCATAAGCATAAAATTTTGATTCGAAAATAAAATAACTTAATTTAGTGAACATAAAGGGTAAAAACTTAATTTTAATGAAAACATAAAGGTTAAAAAATAGTTCATACATTTTTAAAATAACAATTAAAAAATAAAACAACATGTTTGTTTGCAACAACAAGTAAACAATGAATATGTTTGCAACGTTTGATAAAATCACGATGCTAGAAACAAATTTAGAATCTTTGCGTTTTTGTACGTGTTTATCATCCTAAAATATATTTACAATGATGATGAATCGTTTACTGTTATTAAGTGTGCAATAAATGCCACATACCCAAATGCTTACAATCAGTGTAAAGCATAACGTAAACACGTATCAAAAGTTTTGCTATAATGTAATATAAGATGCAGACATTATCGCATGACCGCCACAACTTTCCTTTGAAGATCGGTGTTCTCTAAATTTAAGTACAAAACATTTTGATTATATGAAACTGAATACGCTGATCGACAAATCAGAATACAGAATTGAGAAACTGAAATTATTTGCACAAATTAAGACTTGCAGAATTGAATCAAACGAAGCATCGCTATTGCCAAAATGTTGCATTATCAATACGGTTCCAACCATGTTTGCTGTGTAATAAAATAATTTTAAGAGGACCACTTCAAGCTTTATCTAGTTTTTCCCTTTAACATGTTGTTTTAATGTATTTGAATTAAAACTTCCATTTTGCCCTGGGCTTTATGTTTGTAACTTTCCATTATAAATAGGTAACTATTGCAAGGAAAGGGAATGCGTCGTAACAATCTGGACTCGGAAGCATTAATCACAACAAAAATATGTAAGAATTGCAGACTCGGTTTGATTGAGTCTGTAAATGAAGGATACTGAATAAGTGCAACCTCCCTCACGTCCCCTAGCACCGGCTTGAACGGTACTCAATTCTCAACACTTAAAAGTGCTGGCATCAATGATCCCGAAGGACCAGAAAAATGTTACAACACTGAAGTGAAGTACGGGGCAACTTTTAACAGCTGCCACACAGCACTTGACACCAGCTGTTGTGAAGTATAAAAATCTGGAAATAAAGTGATCCCTCGGAAGCCCATTTAAAAACAAACCAAGTCGTGTAACCCAAATTGGGAAATAATTAATTTTTGGAAGCCGGGACCAAAACAATGTACAAATGAAGTGAAGTACAACTTTTGAACAGCTGCCCCAAGACTTCCCCGATTTAATAAAAATTGGTTAAACATAGAGCATTTAAAAAAGTGTGTTACTAAACTATTTACCAATGTTCAAAAAGGTTAATTTGCAAGCACTCAAAACTTCCATTTTCAAATTATAGAAATAAGTTTTTTTTGAGTGATTCAATATTCAATCACATTTATTTGTTTTTTTAGTTCCTTATCAATACTAATTATTTATTCTTATGTAGTGATTTGCCTGCCCGTGCTCTGCCTTATGCCCTGTCCTATTTTTGTTTGGGGTCTTCCCGGGCTCCTTGCCAATGACGCTTGTTACTGGGTCGGGTGGGGGCTGCGTTCATTAAATGCCGCCTCTCCTTGTCGATCTTGTTTATCATATTTTCGGTACATACACAAGTTTTACGAAGAAATCTGTAACGTTTTCAATAACTCCGTTACAGTTAAAACAAAGAAATATCGTGAATTGATAATAATAACCTTAATTTTGACTACAATTTAAAACTTACAAAACAAACTAAACATTTGTGACTAGACTTGATAATATAATTTTGTGACTAGAAGGGACACACACTTGTAACGAGGAACATTTATTGTATGTTTTTGAGTGGGTTACTGATTTATCCGTCAAAATAACATTTAATAATTTCGCAGTGAAAATTATCAAAATATAATTTCACTTTTCACTGACAAGACTACTTTTAAAGAGTTTTCCCATGTGGTACCTCAATTTATTTTTGCTGACAACTATGACATTTTCAGGGCTGTGTAGAGAAAAGCAAAGCTGAAATAATTTGATAAATAACTTAAATTTCAAAAGTTAACAAAAATTACTTCAATTCATTCATATTACAAATCACCAAAGATCGTGCCTAAACTTTTTGTTTCATTTTTACAGTCTAGAAAATACACTTCCTTCTACATGCCAAACTGCTCTTGGTGACATTTGGGCATTTTTAAGTATCCAACAAGCAATAACAGCGAGTAGTTCGTGAAGCCTAAATAGCTCAAGCAAAGGATATGTAGGATAATGGCTGAAGTCCCATTTTTTTTATAAATTATTGACAAGAAAAGAGTTAAACAGTTAAAATCTGATCAGTCTAACCTTCAGGTGTATATTCATAATTTTCCATCAGGCGTCCATGCGATCGGCTATCCCTTAGAGTGGGCGACTTTGTTTCCAGATTCTTGGAATGCACACACATAGGTTTCTCACATTCTGAACAACAATCGTTCGCTTCACATTCTGGGTAACTAGAGCGCTGTTCTTCAACCCCTGTTTTTATTTTGATCAGCTGTCGGCATTCTTGTGATATTAAAGACCTTAACTACGAAAATGTACAAGGCATGCAAAATTTTAAACTCTGTTTATAAAGGACGACTTCAAAACAGATTGATAAATTAACAATATTCATGTTACAAATCTATAATACATATTATTTTAATTGCTGGAATTTAATTTAAGAGTATGAATGAGAAGCATTAATCTGGACTTCCTCTGCATCAGCTGCAATTGTCATATTCTTTGCAGAAGGTTTGTCGTCATCTGTCGTTTTGGTGTCAAGCACCAACATGAACGGTTTGTTGTGTTTGTAGTCCTCAGCCAAAACAGGATATGGTAACCATGGTGTGACTGGTATCCGTCTTGGCCTGCAGAAACGCTCGTTTCCACACTTGCGTGGACATACTGCCTTTAAAAAAGTGAAGCCAGAAACTGCTAATATCCTGAAAATACATAAAAAATATTTTCAT